ACAGCACTGCACACAATCAACAGGAGTTATACAACATGGTCAATGGGGGTAAGGCACAGGAATTGTACACCACAATGCTATACACAGGCAACAGGAGTTGTACAACATGGTCAATGGGGGCAATACACGGGAATTGTACAACACGACGCTATTCACAATCAACAGGAGTTATACAACTTGGTCAATGGGGGTAATACACAGGAACCGTACAACACGACGCTATACACAATCAGCAGGAGGGATACAACATGGTCAATGGGGGTAATACACAGGAACTGTACAACATGACGCTATACACAATTAACAGCGCCCGCACAACTTGGTCAATGGGGGTAATACCCAGGAACTGTACAACACGACGCTGTACACAATTAACAGGGGTCGCACAACTTACACAGGAATTGTACAACACAGCACTGCACACAATCAACAGGAGTTATACAACATGGGCAATGGGGGTAAGGCACAGGAATTGTACCCCACAATGCTATACACAGACAGCAGGAGTTGTACAACATGGTCAATGGGAGTAAGGCACAGGAATTTTACACCACAACGCTATACACAGACAACAGGATACACAATCAACAGGAGTTATACAACATGGGCAATGGGGGTAAGGCACAGGAATTGTACAACACAACGCTATACACAATCAACAGGAGTTCTACAACATGGTCAATGGGGGTAACACACAGGAATTGTACAACACGGCGCTATACACAATCAACAGGAGTTCTACAACATGGTCAATGAGGGTAAATCACAGGAATTGTACAACACGACGCTATTCACAATCAACAGGAGTTATACAACTTGGTCAATGGGGGTAATACCCAGGAACTGTACAACACGACGCTTTATACAATTAACAGGGGTCGTACAACATGGTCAATGTGGGTAATACACGGGAATTGTACAACACGACGTTAACCTTCTGACTTTTAGGCCTCCGGACTTTTGAACCTTTTGTGTCTCTGGACTAATAGAATTCATCCCTGATGTGCGGTATGGATAAGGTGGTTATTCAAACCCAAGGGATAAAATATTGAGCAGGAGACCCGAGGCTTTATGACCCTGACTGACCCCAAAACGTCATAAAATGACGTCACGAACAATAGCGTGACCCCAAAAGTTCAATATAATACCCCCGCCAGTCTGCGCGTGTAAGCGATCTAGACCCGTGGGTCAGATAGAATTTTCAAGCACCGCCGGAAATGCAGATATCTCGGTCTAGTATGCAAGAATAATTAACCTTGAAAAAGTTCTGACTTTTGTGCCTCCAGATTACTAAAACTCCGAACTATTTAACCTTTTGATTTTTGGGCCTCCTGGCTACTAATTACACTCCGGATTATTGAACCTTCTGAGTTTTAGGCCTCCGGACTATTGAACCTTCAGGGTCTCCGGACTATTGAACCTTCTGATTTTTTGGACTCCGGACTATTAAACCTTCTGGGTTTCCAGACTACTAAAACCCAATTTAACCTTCTGAATTTTGGGCCTCTGGACTACTAAAACTCCGGACTATTTAACCTTCTGAATTTTGGGCCTCTGGACTACGTAAACTCGTGACTATTTAACCTTCTGACTTTAAGGCCGACTTTTGGGCCTACGGACTACTTTAACTTTGGACTATTTAACCTTCCGACATTTGGGTCTCCTGACTACTGAATTTCCAGACTAGTGAACCTTCTGACTTTAAGGCATCCATACTATTTAACCTTCTGGCGTTTGGGTCTCCGGACTACTTAAAGTCTGAATTATATCTAACCATCTGAATTTTTGGCATCCGGACTACTCATACTCGAGACTATTTAACCTTCTGACTTTTGGGCCGCCGGACTAACGGAAATCCAGACTTTATTATTTTTACACCGATCACTATGGGTTCAAGTGAAATAAGAAAGGATCTACAAATGAAAATATGTTCAGTTTTTCTGTTAGTTTTCATCCCAAAACAGGTCAACTCTGTTCCATTAATATTCAAAAATCCTTGGTGTGATTGGGACACTGTGTCCTATTTCTGGGGGGTAATTCGTAAAAATGGCTACAAAGTAACTGTTTCATACAGAAGTTGTATGTTGCTTCAATATACTTATGCATACAAACACCATACAAACGAATGGATGCAGTAGTATAAATAGGGATTATGTGTAAATCATAAACGTAATATATATATATATATCCATTCTGCGCTCGGCGCTATTATTCCCTTTATTTCCTCCAAACAAGAAGAGTTACAGAAATAACGAACAATACACGTTCAATTCAACACTATTGAAAGAGAAGAAAATGCATTCACACTCATGGTCACACCCTTACATAGTGACACACACATACACATGGACAGACACACACATAGGAGAATGATAATAGTACACGCATCATACCATAAAGTACTGACTATAAACGCAACACAATGATATATATAATAGGTACTATTACAGTCATTACACGGTGATAATTGTGATGATGGACAGTATAACACTCATCATAAATTAAAGCGCACATTGATATAATAGACATATAACTTGTAATAATGCGACTAGTCAGATACTCTTGAGTGCCGTATTTATACCAACAATAGGTAGGTATTTTTTCGATAATTAATCCCTGTTCGGTTGTCGTGCTCAGTGATCGATTGAATTCATTTTTGAAGTAGAGTTAATTTAAAAAAAAAATACCATTTCAAAAATGTAATATCTCGATATCATAAAATATTTAATATTCCTCATACTCTGTTCAATTACGGAACTGTCTCGATTATAATTTTAACATGTCGACATACATTTACCCATCTAAAATAGCTGAAGAACAGAAACACGTTATCAATATTTCCCTACTCATATTTACAATCAGAATAATACGTCAGAAATGCTACATGTCGCGTGTTCTTTGCCGACGAAAAACGTGCAGCTATGCTAATGCCACAGACATGTTGTGAGGGGCGTGCCATAAACATTCTCGTTCCTGTCAGATCTCAACCCGAGGGTAAGATTGAACAAAACATGGTTGATATTTCTTTGCATACATTTAGGAATGACTGGTTATTATTTCTCTCTCATTTTTAACCATAAAATACACCCAGGTTGTGGTGGTGAGACAAATACACGGCGCCATTACCAATGACGCAGAGAAGGAAAACTCGGTCAAATTGGGTTGATTTGAGGCAAAGTGGCGTTTTCAACAAAAAATCAAAATTCAAAATAAAAAAATTAATCATAAAAATTCGCGGACACAGCCTTGCACGGGGGCGGATAGGGGGGAAAGGGGGTATATATGCTACTGATTGACCTTTTCTGGCCTAGTCACAGGCATGCTTCGGGGTGGGGTGGGGCGGAGGATTCCCTGGGCCTACCCCTGTGTCATCGGCTTAATTTGCCCCATTTATCCAAACGGTTGGGCAGGCTTCGCACATGGATCAAGATCCAGATAAGAAGTTCCCGACTCGGCTTAGTGTGCGCCATCTTTAAAATACATCAAAAGAATCTTGCGTCACGTAACGGTAAAATTTGACAGGCTTTGAAGTCGGGCGTCTCTCCTTTGTAATCTTCAAAGGACAGGTATCAGCATAGCGATTGGGTAGTGGTGGTTTTTTTTACCTGGGACCTATCACGTGTTTCATCCTTGTAGGACTCTTCGGTGATGCTAGGGGCCAAGAAGTTAGGATTTCAAATTCGGCGTAAAAATCCTTCATTATGAGTTTTAAAATGCAGAACAGTACTGGTTAATTTCAATTAGAATAACATAAAACGTTCCAGAAATCACGTTTTGTCTTGAAAATGAGGAACTTTTATAGAGTTAAGAAAATTTCGTGATATCGAGGACCAAAGACTACAACACTGGCTAAGCCAAACCAGAATATAGTTTCGGGATGATCAGATACGATCTCGAGCCGAGACAAAGCGAGCAATTAAGGCAAAAACACAATACCAGAGAATGTAGCTAGTATACGTCTCTGACAAAACCAGGGCTAGAGGTCATATATATCGAATATATCGGATGTTCCCAGTTTAATTTCGCAGAATATTACCTCGTTAAATATCTCCCCTATATTGCATTGTAGATATTTCATAGAGTTGTGCATGTATATAAGCATGCCTCTACCTGGCGAGTCTTTACACATGTTTAAAGGTATAGTTTCATAACCATCCAAGTTGTATTCGCTTAGAACAATATCTCTTTTAAATGATTTAGGTTTGACTTCTTGTATAATTATAATCATCGGAGTATTCTTTAATTCGAAGTTTTAGCTATTGTAGTTTAATTTGCGTTAGAGTATCGGCATTAGCGAACAAAACTTGTTTGTCTTTGACTTTGGTAGGCGATTTGGGGGACCCTTCTTTGTCTATTATTCTTTTTTTAGTTTGACAATTCTCCTTGCCCAAGGGGGGCCTCGGTCGGACCTTGTATGTATATTCCCCCTGTTCCGATGCTGTTTTTTGTTTGGCTTCATTCCATAATTCTTTCTCCTTTTTTCTTTCCGCTCTTGTTAAATCATTACTAATACGGATGTTCTCAAAATCCGCATTTTCCCTTAAATGCCTTATGTTTTTAAAAAGGTCTCTTTTCATATCCTGACTATCCATCGCTACAAGGACTGTAAAAAACTAGAAGAACGCGGACAGGTAAATCGGATAATATTGATCAAGATCATGTCAAGCCACTCTAGCCACTTACAGCAACTCCACTGTCAATACATTTAGTAGGTTTATGTCCAAGGAGTTCCGAGTGTGAATAACACCGGCGAATTTCACGACAATGTCAAGTTCAGAACTAGTCTCGCTAAAACGTGACTGTCGACCAATCGGAACAAAGCTACAATCTCATTAACATAACCTCACGTTTTCCAAAGCATGGTTTGGAGTTCTCGCCAACAAGATAAGTTCATAAGGTAGATTTTGCTTCTAAAACGTACGGAAATGTTGAGTCCTTGTGGATAAACTTTTTATTTGTTTTAATATCGCCATCCACTTTCTTGTAATGTCTAGAAGCCCAAGAAAGCAAATATTACACTGGTTTCGCAAGGGCTTACGATTGCACGACAACCCAGCTCTGAGAGATGCTCTGAAAGGAAGTTCCACTTATCGCTGTGTATATGTCCTGGACCCTTGGTTCGCTGGTTCATCACAAGTTGGAATCAACAAATGGAGGTAACATATATATGACCGAATTTTTTGAAGGGCTGTGCTGTCATTTAATTATATATATACTAGCGTAAAAAAGAAACTGCATGCCTAAAATGTGTTATAAAAATAAATGTGTATGACATAGAACAACAAGGTTTTCAGGGACAATTTATTTGTTATTTATTAACAGTTGCATTCCATTTTCCACGTTATGGAATCAATAAGTTCCGCTCAGGAGTGACGTAAACACAGTAGGGGTCAATCAGGTTGGGGAAAACCACCAACTTGCGTATAATACGCAAACTCGCCTATTATCGATACTCCAGTTGGAGTATGGATTTGTTACTAAAAATAACCCAAATCACTTTAACAGTAACCTTTTGCAATTTATTATTAAAAATCGCATTAATTTACGACAAGGTAAAAAATATGTTGATAAAAGATGTTTACTGAAAGCGTTGGCTACTTAGAAACTTGATGTAACTCTACCGGATGTATTGCATCTAGTTTTGGTATTTTCCCACATGCAAATAAAGTTTATTTTTGCATTTGTATGATGTTTCATGACTAAACAAATGCGACTTGGACAAACAATTTGAAAAAATTAAGCTTAAAGTGATTTTGGCTAATTTTAGTAACAAATTCATACCCCAATTGGCGTATAATAGGCAAGTTTGCATATTATACGCAAGTTGGTGGTTTTCCCCAACCTGTCAATACTGAGTTCACAAAGTTGATACCTCGTATGTCCACCGTTTGCCTGAATGCAAGCCTGGCAACATCGGCGCATGGAGCCTATCAGACGGTTCAAGAATGCTTGTGGGATGGCATTCCAGATCTGTACCAACGCTGCAGCCAAATCAGCCAACGTTACCGGTTGGTTAGGAAATGCCCGTAATCTGCGCTTCATTTCATCCCAGACATGTTCAATGGGCGACAGATCGGGGGACTTGCGACTTGTCCGTAAAAAAAAATGCCTGCCCAATCCCGTCGAGTTAATTGCAGATGCCTTCTGCACCAGTCCAGTCGTGCTACACAATAACGTGGCAGAAGAACTGGACGGATTGCAGGACGTCGCGGACGGATAGCTCGTTCACGCAATCAGTTCCGTACAGTTCTCGGGCTTATTGGTAGCAACCCAGGGATTGTCCATGCAGTCAAACTTGCCGTTTGGAAACGATTTCTCAAATGGACAAGCCGAAGNAAATTCCCGTTAACAACCACCAGAGGCATTCTCCCGTTGGCTGTGAGGCCGCCCCAAATCATAACGCTGCCTCTGCCGAAAGAACGTCGTTGTACCACCCACGCGTCACGGAAACGTTCTCCAATGCGACAATACACTCTGGAACCGACGTCACTACTATCCAGGTAGACTCGCGACTTGTCCGTAAAAAAAATGCCTGCCAAATCCCGTCGAGTTTATCGCAGATGCCTTCTGCACCAGTCCAGACATGCTACCCAATGACGTGGCAGAGGTTCCGTACAGTTCTCGGGCTTATTGGTAGCAACCCAGGGATTGTCTGTGCAGTCAAACTTGCCGTTTGGAAGCGATTTCTCAAATGAACAAGTCGAATATGGTTGTCCTGTTGATGTGACGTCACACCTGGATGTCCTGCACGAGGTCGATCGCCGACATGGCAAAACTGTTGATGTCGTCTCCACAAATCACGGATTGTGTTTCGATGGACATGAAAACGTGTAGAGACAACGGCTTGGCCCATGCCAGCTTGAAGCATACCAATAATCCGGAGGCGGTCATTTTCATGGAGCCTCGGCATAGCCTTAATCACAAATTAAAACGTTATAATGCTGTTTTTACTGTTCACTGGTCTCAGCAGAGTGACCCAACAGTTGAAAAATAAACTTTCATTCTCGAACTGGATGGCTGGATGAGAAAAACGTGCAAACTGGTCAACGCCTATAGAGAGCAAACTGCACGGGAAAAACTGTCAATGACACACAGATAGTGTGTATGTGTCATACTCGGTCATGTGTGTGAATTTTCATGTATATACAGTTGGTAATACATGTTCTATATAAATGCTCTGCATGCACAGTTTCTTTATTCCGCTAGTATATATGTATTTCAAGCTTATTTTATCATATAAGTCTATACAAGCCCCTGTGTGCCGATTGAGCTATTATATACACCTATAAATTATAGCTGTATTGAGCACGGACTTAGATAGCACTAATCTAATTTTGTGGTATTGAGTGATATTTTCTCAGATTTTAATTCTCATTAAATTAAAGCAAAGACGCATAAAACAATAAGGTTTATATTAAATGTGGACGGCAAAAAGCGATATACAGTTAGATGTTTATTTTCTTTTTTCATAAATGAAAAATTTCCGATTTTTTTTACATCATTATTTTTTAAAAAGGATCCTTATATTTAATGTCTTTTTTTTATCAACCTAATGATAAAAATCTTCTTTTAAAAGCGACTTTGATTTCCTTACACAAGAAAATCACATGGAAATAGCTCAAAAGACCTATTTCAGATATATAGCTTCCAAATCTTTTAAATTCTAGGAGCAACAATCCTTGAATATTTAGGGTTGAATTAATAGTAGGTCATTGTGACCTGTATTTGACTATCGACTTTAATTTCTAGAAATAAAGCTCAGGAAAACATTTAACCTCAAAAGGCATAACTCGATCCTTTATGATTTAGTGAAGAGGTGCTTATACATATATAGCTCACATTAATAGCTTTATTTTACCTTGATATTTACTCCTTCATTTGTATTATAAAAGGGTTGTCCTGAATCTAACACCTAAACTACAAATGTATCTATGGTGGATCAGAAAGGAAATGACAAATTGCATTTAGATAATTTGTATTTAGCAATATAAATTGAACCATTCACAGCTGCTATACAAATTAAAACTTTGGCTTCTAATCTTGTCTTGTCTCCAGAGTATACATCAGGGATATACACTGTGGATGGCAGCGGCCTCTCTACTTGTTTCTTATTTTGTGTGGCAGATTTTGATTGTTCGCACTAGAGAAAATTTCCCTTTATAATTAGCTCAGTGGTAGTGTCCGATTAAGAAGTCTGGGGTGGCATGCAGGTTCGATCCCTGGCGGAAGCAGACTTCTCTCTTTCTAGTTACAAATTGTGTCTGTGGCCCTGGACCCTGTATGTAGTGACGGGGAGTTTAAACCTGGGTAATTGTGGTGTTTGAGGGTGATTATATTTAAAAAAGGGGGGAGTGTTGTGGTAGATATTGATTGTACATAGGATAACAAGTGCCTTCTTTAGCTTCGCGCTAGAAGGAATTAAAGTTTCCCTTTAGCTCAGTGGTAGATGTTGATTGTACATAGGATAACAAGTGCCTTCTATAGCTTCACGCTAGAAGGAATTAAAGTTTCCCTTTAGCTCAGTGGTAGATGTTGCGGGTTCAGTCTTTGGTGGAAGCACACTACTCTCTTTCCTATTACGTTTGTATGTTGCAGGAACGAAACTTCTCAACCTGTTCAATCACAAAAGTTGTTTTTGTTTATGTTTGTAGGTTCCTGTTACAATGTTTGGAAGACTTGGACTGCTCGTTGAGGAAACTTAACTCAAAACTGTTTGTTGTGCGGGGTCAGCCAACAAATGTATTTCCACGCCTGTTCAAGGTAGCTACTTGCGTATTAGATTGAAAGTTTGGAATTTCTTTCCAATTTGACCCTTTAAATTTGTTGCAGTGTGGAAATGTTCATGTTGACAATAGTTCTGAAATCTATGTATAGACTATTGATAATTATTTGCATGTGTATATTTTTAAAATATGATTTTTAGCTGTCTTCTTGAGTTACATTATATAATTAGAAATCTATGTATAAACAAGCACCTGTTTTTGTTGAATTTATTTTTCAAACTAAGAGTAGACCCTTAGACAGTCATATTGGAATCATATACTTCAAAGACCAAATCGTCTATGAAATTATTAACTATGATTTGTATGATTCAATGACAGGTATAGAAGCGAGGGGAAAGTCTTCAGATAAACTACTTTTCTTCCTTTTTTCTTGCAGCTATTTTCTTAATTTCCTGTTATAAAACACTAAATCAAGCCATGTAAAATTTCTTGGTCAAGGTTTATCTGCTCTTTGAAAATTTCAGTAGGTCAGTAATTCTAAGAATTGTGTATTACAACACAGACCTATTGTCTGTGATTTGTAAGTTCTGAATTCTGAGACTGAACTAATCTATTTAAAAAATATCCCAGTTTGATGTCAAGTTTGTGTGTGTACAGGAGTGGAACATCACAACCTTGTCGTTCGAGGAAGACCCCGAGCCATTTGGGAAGGAGCGGGATGCCGCCATTAAAGCTCTAGCTAATGAAGCAGGTGTGGAGACAATCGTTCGCACATCCCACACGCTGTACGACCTACAGAGGTGAGTTGTTGGTCACTAATATTGACAGTTAAATAGTGGGATTCCAGTTTATTGATCCGTTTCTCTGACTTCTGTGAAACATTGATGAATACCTTTGCTGTGAGGATGGAGAGTATATGTACAGGATCATGTGATTCACATGTATCTATGGTAACATTTTTGTCACTGAAAAGGTTACAACAACTCTTGAAGATCTTGACTCGAGGAAGACAATTTAGCAGTACTTTTCACTTTGCACAGCAGAGGAAGAAAATATTGCTGTTTATTGCAAGGGTTGTGACATTACGATACATATCAAGATTCATGGGTCACAATGTGATACGTATTGCAACTTTTTTTACAGACCAGTTACCATAGTTTTCCTTGATTTGAAACAAATCTTAAGTGTTTGTTTTCCATCCTAAATTCATTTGTTTTTGAAGTGATCTATCTCCTAAATAAAACCGTATAGCATAAATTTGGAAAAAAAGAAGTTCTTTTCGATTTTAGAACAAGAGGAAATGCATGCTGAAATGATTTTTGTGCGATGGGTTATTTAATAAGCACTCTGAAAGGGCGCCAGTTTCCTGTACATAACTTTTTTAAAGTGTCACAACACATGTAGCGATTGCCACGATGCATCGGCACTCGAGATGTGATTCATTTCACCGATACATCGGGAATCTTTACACCTCTAGAAGGAACACACGTAGACATCAACAGATGTAATACTATAGCTAGGACAACGATCCTTGAGCTATCAACCCTTTAAGCCCTGATGATGCATAAAAGAGGCATTGAGCTACCATGTAGCTGGCAGATTAGGGTAGAATGTAGCTTGAGAGTACGAAACGGCCTCGTGTGGCTTAGGAGCTAAATCAGGAAACAAGTACACATAGTATGTTTGCAGTATCCATTGAACTTATATATTGAACTCGTATTATTTAAATTGTAAATTGACTAACTCACAGTCTTTTTTTCCCCAGGATTATAAACCAAAACAATGGAATGTCGCCTCTGACGTACAAGCGGTTCCAAATGATCCTGTCCAAGATGGACCCTCCAGAACAGCCTGTGGAAACGATCAACGCAGCTTATCTGGGAAAATGTAGGACACCTCTTACCGATGAGCATGATGAACACTATGGAGTACCCACCCTTGAAGAACTGGGATTTGACACAGAGGGCTTAAAACCAGCAGAACTTCGGGGAGGGGAAATGGAGGCCTTGTCTCGACTGGAACGGCACTTAGAAAGAAAGGTACCAATCTTTTCCTCTTTTTATTTCTTTTTTCGGTTTTCGTATTTTTTCTTTTTTTTCTTTTTCATATCATGGGAGCAATATACCCAGTTGTGTGGATTGAAAGACAACTTAAATACATGTACAGTCGCGTATGAAGAACAACTGTATACTGCTCCTTGAAGATGGTACTGAAAAGATGTAAACAAAGGGCTCTATTCATTTGCATCTGGAAGTGAAAAACAATATCAACATGTTATTTCAAGTCTGTGATGTCAAAAATTGCTTTCCATTTTAACCCATAAGGCCATTCATCAAATACCTGGTAACAAATCACCTGGTACAGGTATAATTACAGGTAAATATACTGGTACACACATACTACTTAACACTCCAGTCAGCAGCCATTCATCAAATACCTGGTAACAAATCACCCTGTACAGGTATAACTATTTTTAAGTTTTCAAAATTATTGCAAATAAATCAGCTGAATTGTAGAATTTGCGGAAGACAGGTCATTTTAAAAAGAATTAATTAAATACACTGATTTTAGAAGGTTCCTTGCCTTTCAAAATGGCTTCTAGCTCCGTGTTGGCGCTAAATGTCAGCATATATGGAGCACAATTTGCCTCCAAATGAACCTTGTTTATATAATTCTTTGTTTTAAATACAATAGTAGGGTCATAAAATCACATGACCACCTGGTACACAAAAATATATAAATAAAAATAAATCGACCTATCTACCCTTGTTTTTTTGTCCATGCAACCCTAAACAGACTATTATTATTTTTTGGCCTAAGTTCACATTTGAACCCTTCCTAATCAAAGACTGGGCGGGCAAGTCCAGTTTAAAAATGTAGGGGTAAGTGAATAAAATAAAGTGAAGAACCCAGAAGAGTGAAATACCTGGAGATATTCTGTATACAGTGTACTGGGAGCCTGTTGTCCAGTCAGGAGTAACATCACTGTACCCAAATCGGGACACTTCTGAGATAAATATCAATGTTCTTTATACCACACTATCAGTTCCAAAAATGTTTGTTAAATTTTCATAAATAGATACTATCCACTTTTCATTTCTATTACAAGTTGGTATTTCGTGCGACTGGTTCTATAAATAGAACGCCGAAAGGGACACAGTATTTTGGATAATATTTGAGGATAAACGATCAATATCAGCAGAAAATTATGCATAATTGAAATATTTTAGAGTCAAAGTGGGTTCTGATTAAGTTTCTTCTCCAGACTAGCATCAGTTTTGATAAAATAGACTTTTGAAAATGATATCTAAATAAATAGCGTTGCACAACACGTAAATCAGGAAAGTTTCGCTTTGGCAATTATTCTTACCTTTAAATTGTCCGTGTTACGATAATCAGCAGCCAATAAAGCTTACATACAGTTAAATTGTCATAAAAGTATCATCAAATGAAAACAGTATGCATAAAAGTACTTCTTTGCATTGTATGACAATGCAATTTCTTGGGCCGTTTTCCCACAAGTGTCCCATTTTGGGTACTGTCCTGATTTGGGTACAGCGACGTTAGTATCTTAGAATATGGCAAGATATGTATTTCCATTCAAAAGAGTGAATTAAGAACTGATTGTGATGAACTGTTTTGAAGCTACATACCATTAAAAATTTGTTACAGCGATTGATTTTGTGTTTTATAAGATATTACTGCAGGTCCTTTGGTCCTTTCAGCAATTTATTTATATTAACAATGGCTCTATAGTTTAATGACAGTGACCGAAAAACTGGATGGGATGCAGATCTTTTCATATGTTTACTTCCAAGCATGTACTGATACACAGCTGAGTAGACTGGAGCTATATGGGTAACATGTTTGTGTCGAAGCACTGGAGCACTGATGTGTATGCATGGATGGTAAAACTTTGTGTCATTAATTCCATTGTAATGGTTTATGTAACTTTTTCTTGTTTTTGTTTTGTTAACTCATTCACCCCTGAAGACACATTTGAACTCTTCCAATTCAAAGGTTGGAATAGTTCATTAAGGTTAGGACCTTATGCATGAAGTTATTATTTAACAAATACTGCTTCAAGAAAAAAGGCACCTTTTTGGCTTAATTTCATAAAAGCATCACTGGACCTAAGACAATTTGGTATTAATATATAAATTATTGATTTGGCCTCCAAGAGGCAGAAGGGTGGGACCAAAAAGATAATATTTTAAAAACTAACGCTTTAATATGTATAAGGAAAGGGACTTAAACGTTATCTGGTATTGGAGCATTCTTGTGCCAAGGTGATACAATTTTGTGTAAATGAAAGATGTCACCCATCTGTAGCCTGATGGACGTGCCAGTTGGGAAAGTCCTTAACCGTTTTACCCTTTAAGTCACATTTGAACCTTACCAAATCAGAGACTGGGCAAGTCCAGTTTAAATGAGTGGGGTGAATGAGTTTGTAAATTACTCAAAAAATGCATTTTGAAATACTTTGCCTAAATTTGGTATGGAGAATTTTAAGACCATTACAATTTTATTTTGTATAATGTATGGAGGGAAATCTTCACCATACGTAATGAAGGCAAATATATCATAACAGCAAATATTTAGCAAATAATACACACAATTTAGCAATTAAATGTTAAGGGCAAAATTGATACGGGGCAAAGAAGGATTTTCTGGCAAAAGGTGAAATGTTATATGTTTGTCTCAGTAAAAAAATCCTGGTACACTGTATGTACATGAAGTATACAACATTTGATGTTAATGGTCTGGAATTCTCCATACCAAATTTAGGCAAAACATTTACAACTGTATTTATGGAGTAATATATTAATAATTGCCCAAATTGCATGAATTTGGACAATTTCCTGGTACTGTAAACAGTAAATGAAATATTTAATATGATGGGAGCAGGGACCCAAAAGAGAAAATTTGGTTTTTGCAATTTGAAAAACTGAAAAGTACAAATATGCATTTTGGAAGTTTGGCGATTATTGAACTTGAACCCTGGGGGAAGAAGGCAAGGCCATATATAGGGATAATTCAAATATGGTCTCAAACATTTTCTTATGAGTTTTTCTCATTCAACTGTAATAAATCTTTTTAATTACTCTCTTATGACCGGTCCTAAATAAACTGTCTTCTGATTGACTGAGGATTTTCAATAAATGTTCATAGTTCAGTAGGGTCAAATTAAACCAAAGTCAGGACAAATGTAGTTCTGTTGTTGTCCTGTCAATCTTATTAAGAGTACCATGATTGCATTGTTGGGTCAATAAGAAACAGTTAGAAACAGGTAAATATTCTTGAATACTTTGCTGAATCTGCAATCCTTGGTGAATTGTTGCTTTATAACTTTATTAGTTTAATTAGGCCCTAATGTAATTAATTTAATTAAATGTAATTAAATGTAATTAATTTAATTAAATGTAATTAATTTAATTAAATGTAATTAAATGTAATTAATGTAATTAAATGTAATTAGTGTAATTAATGTAATTAATGTAATTAAATGTAAAATATTTAATTAAAGGTAATTAATTTAATTAACATAATTTTAATTTATGTAGTTAATTAAATGTGATTAATAACAAATCAAAATTGTGTAATTAGAATTAGAATACTGTATGATTTGAGGTTGTATATGAAATGTATTGTCACATAGTGCTTTTTACTTGTAGGCTTGGGTAGCCAGTTTTGAGAAGCCAAAGATGACAGCCCAGTCATTATTCCCCAGCCAAACAGCTCTCAGTCCATACCTGCGGTTTGGCTGTTTGGCGCCCCGCCTATTTTACTGGAAACTAGCAGAGCTGTTCAGAAAGGTAATAATACTACTTGGTAATTCATTACTTTATACTGTAAACTTTTCGCCATTCAACTATTTGTCCTTCACCAGTGAAATCAATATTTGCTTAGAATTAATTTCACCCGTCACATAGTGTTATTTTACGATTTTATTGAAGGATACTCATATTTTTTTTTATACTTAATTGAAATTGGTTTGACTTCATAACAAATGAATTCTGATTTAACTTGGTTAGAATTCAATAGAAAATTAATGCTAAAATGTATTTATCTTACAGGTGAAAAAGCAATCGGATCCCCCTTTGTCGCTGCATGGGCAGCTATTATGGCGGGAATTCTTTTACACCGCAGCCACCAATAATCCAAACTTTGATCGGATGAAGGATAATCCTATATGTGTCAAGGTCCCATGGGATCACAACCCAGAAGGCCTGGCCAAATGGGCAGAGGTGAGATCCACACTCCATCATAATATCTATAAAAAGAACTGAACAGGTACAGCAAGTCTCTGTAAATAACCAGAATGAATCGAGTCTGGCTTTGAGGTCTTCGTTTAGGCATGGGTCCAGGTCCTAGTGTCTGCCACAGCATGTATCAGGCCTCTAAATGGAATCATAATAATTATTTAAATTGTAATTTCATGAGGTTGTCGTTGGCATTTTTAACGAAAAAATGTCTCGATCAAGGATAATATAAGATGATTATATCTTTGGAGGGACAAAATTTCTCTATCGATATTGAATGAATCACAAGTTGGAAATTTTCCAAAACACCTGACTTATTTAAGGAATATTTTTCTGCTCTGACATAATAAGTTGGACATTTAGCACAAGGGATGATAAAACGTGTCTGTACATCGTGAAATTTTTATTTTACTCTTTTTTTTAACTGACCAAAATAAGAGCAAATTTATGTAAACAACATTAAGGAAAATAGATGAGAAGGGTGACTATCGATTTTCCTGGCATATGGTGAAAGTTGGACTGGGTGAATGTTTCCCAGTATATAGTGTAATTTACATGATATGATAACGAGTCACATTTTCTGCAGGGTATGACGGGTTATCCATGGATTGATGCAATAATGAGACAGTTGAAGCAGACAGGCTGGATCCATCACCTAGCCAGATATTCAGTGGCATGTTTCCTTACGCGCGGGGATTTATGGATCTCCTGGGAGGAGGGCATGAAGGTAAACACTTTTGTACACTTACATACACAAAACTGATAACCTTGCAAGAAGAAAAAAAATTATGTATATTTTACATGGAAATCTTGTTTCCCAGATAGTGAAATAATCTACAAATTGTGTATGTAAATTTCACTTTACTAAATTAAAGTGCTTCATGTAATGACCTGTCTTACGCAAATTCTACAATTCAGCTAATTTATTTGCAATAATTTTGAAAACTTAAAAATAGTTATTCCTGTACAGGGTGATTTGTTACCAGGTATTTGATAAATGGCTGCTGACTGGAGTGTTAAGTAGTATGTGTGTACCTGTATATTTACCTGTAATTATACCTGTACCGGGTGATTGTTGTTACCAGGTATTTGATGAACTACTGCTGGATGCTGACTGGAGTGTAAATGCTGGGATGTGGATGTGGCTATCCTGCAGCTCCTTCTTTCAGCAGTTTTTCCACTGTTACTGTCCGGTGGGCTTTGGAAAGCGGGCAGACCCTACTGGAGACTTCATCAGGTATATAACCTTGTCTGATTAAAGGTTTTTGTGGACTTAATTTTTTTTTTTTAAATTTATTCAATAATCTTGATATTATCAAAATGAAGATGAAATATAAACTTCTACTGCTGGACAATAATTGTTGGACACCAATGTCAAAAAAGAGTGAGGCAGTGTTGAATACCGATATGGATTCAGAGTGGGACTTCTTAAATGCTTGAGCGTGTTGTTTGTTTATGTTTAACGATTTTATGATTGTTTTTCTCATTAAGTGAAAACTTTCATCATCGATACCTGAAATTTGATAGCATCTCTTGTTCCTCTTATTTCAGTAAAGATGGCTTTAACTGAATAATAATCTTAATTCTTCATAATTCTCCCACAATCTCACCTGTGTGCCCTACTCCATAGATCCTACGTGCCTGAACTGAAGAACTACCCTTCTAAGTATATCTTTGAGCCCTGGAATGCCCCGCCGTCCGTCCAAAAGGCAGCCAAATGTGTGGTAGGGAAGGACTACCCCCTTCCTATTATTGATCATGGTGATGCCAGCAAAGTTAATATGGAACGCATGAAGCAGGTGTATCAACTCTTAGCTCAACGGGCATCTGCAGGTATGTATGGTCCTCATAATCTGACATTGATGAATATTCATAAGTGAATTATTGTACAGCATTTGCAAATATTCATAACTATCCCTGGAATGTATTAATATTCACTATCCCTTGCATTTATGAATAATCATAAGTGAATTACTGCCCCCTGGAGATATAACCAGGGTTTCAAGTATTGCACACATAGTCAGTAAAATAATTGCAGAAGATATGAAAATATTATTTTCAAAATTGTTTTAACACATTGCAAGTATTAATATGAAAGTCCTGAGCTATTGCCATCTCTTGTTGTAATATCTGGATTATTTTGATATCTTGTAGTGTCATCTATTCCAAAACACACTGACTACCTGACACACAAGACAACAATGGCGCTCACAGGTTAGTACAGTATACAACACTGGTTCGTACATGCCACACGCGTGTATAACATAAGGTTTCCAATACTGCATTCCATGGTGTTCCGTATGTACTGTATGGCGGGAAAATTTTCACCGTAGTTTTAACTGTCGCCTTTTCCGTCAATGAGGGTGAGTATATTATGACATCAAATATTAGTACATAATATACACCATATGGTAATAACATGTGAATGGAGAAATTAACACTAGGCCAACATTGACTTTATTTGCAAACGGTGAGTATTTGACCGGGCGAATGTTTCCATAATAAACAGTATAACAGCTTGTTTAGTTTTGTGTGTGTATTATTCACTTGTTAAGGCAATCCTGTTGTGTAATTATCAATCCTAAAAATAACATTAATTAAGCAATAGACCAGAGGTCTCATCAACAATGCAGTGGTTAAACCTACTGTAAAATTAGTAACAACTGGGGGGGGGGCAAATGTTAAAAGAAATGATGAGCAACAACAACACTGAATCCGGTACAAAATGTAATGTTTGATTTACATCTATGTGTCGATGTGTTTCGGCCAAAGGGAGGCTGACTTCAGAGCTCATCTTCTGTAAAATTGTGTCTCATGCATATTGTGTCTTTGACATCCATGTTGAGTGTTATGTAGGACTTTTGTAGTTTTTACACAGTGTAATTGTTCTGGCTTGTGTCAGTGTTAAGTCAATGTAAAACAGGATATTTTTTACTCTTTTATTCTCAACTTAAATCTATAGTAAGCAGTATTTATTGGTAATGGTACATCCGTGAATTCAATACTGAACGTTTTGAGTTGATTATAAGTGCCTAAAGATTGAAATTTTTAGAGGGCGAAAATAGTTTGGTCTTTAATTGTTAGTGGTAATATTGTGTTTTTACGGTGGTAATGATGTGTAATATTTGTATTATAGGTGCCACGTCTGGAAACCACCCAACCCGAGTCCCACTGAGCTGTAACGCTGCTGACCAGCAGACAAACAACGACGGTACTGATCAAACCATGAGCACCAGTTTCGCTGTGTACTCAAGTGCTTCTTGAATTAAGAACATTATGAAAATAACAACATTTCACCACAGTACACCATAATGGATTCATCCCGTTAAATGCTTGGTAGAGTCTATTAAAGTTATCTACAGGTTAAAAGGTGTGAACTGTGTGTAACAATTTATTGTAATTATATCAAAATGGTGTTGGGAGTGTAAACAGTGTTCTTTTCCCATCTTTTCACTGTGAAATAAGTCATGATGGCTCCATGATCCGTGTGTATGTATCATTGAAACTTATATATAACTTTGTGAACGGTAGACGATACGAAGACCTACTATCTTGTAACAAATGTGATCTGGCGGTATGTTAAAACATGATTCATTGCTATTGTTAATACATTCACTGTATCTATTGGTTCAAATGAAACAAAACATTTGCTAATTTAGATATACATGTATATTGAAGGTTTCAAGTTATAGAACATGTTTTAAGGTGATATAAATAATGTAGAAGTTGTTTGAGTGAAATGTTACTGACCACAGGGAAATTTTCCCTACAATTTCAATTTGGACCTTTTTTGCATTACATAATGATATCCAATTATTATTATTACAGCATGCTTTAGTAAACAACATAATAAACACAATAACATTAAAAATGTATAGAGTGATTTAACACTAATTAAGTTAAGATTTTACTAAATGTAATGTTGGCAGAATGTTCAATTTGGTGAAAGTTTCCACTGGTATTATAATGGACTCGTTTTAAGTCCAAATTAGTTCCTACTATTTATTAACACTAACCTTTTATATCTGATTTCACTTGTGATTTGAATGGAAAGATCTGAACTTCTCTATGATACTTTAGAATCATAATGCTTTATAGTCCCCCAACGGTATTACTCCAAGTTTGCATCCCTGTGCATCAGTCAGTCATCCTGTCTGTACATCACTTGGTCTTGGGTATGCGTCATATACTGTCACATACAATAACCAAATTTTGAATACAAGTACCTTTTGGGTATTGACATTGGGTCACTTGCCCCTCTATATGCAGAGTTATGGCCCTTTAGTTTATCGCATTCCAGACAATTGAACTAGTTTGACCAGAGTTGTTCGTTTATGAAAAAAGGTCGGACCTAGTAATCTGATGCTGCCTTGACAAGGCCTCGCCAGACCTGCATATTCATTTGCAGGTCCCCCAGGATTTATACCCTCAAGTGTTACATTTAAAAACAGACATACGGTTCAACCAGATACACAAATGGGGCCTTTGTCTGGAGCCTAATCCTATGTATTACACTGTAACTTATCAGTACCAGATTTTATATGTAAATACCTCTTGGGATGGTGTGGTATCACATACTAAAATCTTGCCTCTCGCCAAATCGACGCAGATCTAGAGTTATGGCTCTTCATTCAGTTTTGGTTCCACAGTTTTTCCAAAGGTGGGAGACTATAGATTGCTTGAAATAAATCTTTACCTTTCTGTTAGTGAATATTTCTCCAAAAATGCACAAAGCCATTTTGAACATTTCGTATGAAATACATTCAGGCCAACTTGTATACTGAAAATTTGAATGTCATCTTGAAAAATATGTCGAGATGATTACTGGTAAGTGAAATTAGATACTGTTATGACATCAGAATAATTTTGTGTTTAATGATTCATGGACCCTAATATAGATATAATCCTAACATTTTTACAAATCGTGTCCAATGATTCATTTTATCTGCTGTACCCAGCAAAGATTAATGACACCTCACATTGTTAGGGTTGAAAATGATGTGATTATTGTCAATCTGACAGATATTGATTTATCTTAAAGGCAGCTTATTGAATATAGTTGTTGAAATGATTGTTTTTCACTTGTCCATTTGTATATAATGATGTGCTGTAACATAATCAACGCTTTTCTCAAAATTTGTGAAAAGGCCTTTAGAATTAGTTCAGTGTGAATTGCTAGTAAGTATTAATACATATGTATTCTTTTTAAATTATTATTGTTATTTGTCTCAATATTATCGCCAGATTTTACTTCATAGAAATCGGTCTAAAGTTATATACTGTAAAACCTTGAAATACGTCCACCATTCGCCCAAGAAGTTTGGTGTTATTTAAAAAAAATAAACAAGAAAAATGGACATAATTATTGGCGATAAACGAGATGGAAATTGAAACCAGGATTTATTGTAAGTTGCTTTTTTGGATCAATGGTGTATCGTCCTGGAATTGAATTATATCTAACTATGTCTGTGGTACAGTGAATCAACAATCTTCTCAAAAATCTTCTCAAGTTTGACTGGTACACATTTATTACAGGATTAATATTTCTGTGAAAACCCCCAGTGATTTACTTCTAACATACTTTTGATTTGTTCATATCAGAGCCCTTTGGGGCATTAAGGTCAGTAATAAAAAAAGGGGGGGTTGCTCCCAGCGATTAAAGTTCAAAATACAGTGGAACCCTACGTACTCGAACTCGCATAACTCGAAATCCCCCATTCCTCCAACAGTTCGGTTGATCCCGACCGTGTTCTTAAATATTCTTTGTAAATTAACCTTAGATAACTCGAACAGCCATTGCTCTAATACCCCGTATTCCTCAAACTCTGATTTATTCCTGACATCTCAAAATCTTAGTATTTTACCCATCCATTCGTCGAACAGGTAAACACACACCATCGACATGTCTCGAAGCACAGGCTGCGGGCCACGCTCATTGTGCTTACCGGTATAAACAGGGGTCGGCTGGATGTCAGATAATGAGAGGATTAACTGCAGTATTATCATTTTTTTTTTTACTTCTATCATCTACTATCCACGATATTTACAGTATTCGTACTGTCTGTCAACCCACATGTAAAACAAATGACGATGTTGGTCGAACCTCAGATTCCTGGAACTATTGATCTGGACCCTACGAGTTCGAGATAGTGGGGTTTTACTGTATGCTAATATGGGTACTGGGATTTATTTATCTTCTCCAGTTTTAGCTTTCAAAGAGTTGATAGTCCATCTTTACTATGGCCAGGCAATGTACTTCTAGATTATTCATACCTTTGCAAACATACTGTGTGGACTGTTTTGGGTATTGGATTTAGATACATCATTACAGAGTTAATGCTTCATATGTAGATTTTAACATGACTGTTTATTCAGTGAGAACTACCCTAGACATGATTAAGTTAAATTCCCTGAATTTTTCTACCATTCCTAGTAAGTATTATTTATATATAGAGTGTGTTGGCCATAATATTGAAGACATTGATGTAAATATGTAAATTGAGATTAATCGTACAAGCGTCATTATTTATCAGTATAAAACTGGATTGTTAATTGTTTCCTGGACATGACCTGGGGAAAATCCAGTACATGGTATGTTGTACTACTATTTTTAGCTGTTATTGATGATTCAATGTTTGTCAAGAACGTTTTTTGACACAGATGTAAATATTTATATAATGAAGGTTCATTATTATAAACAATCCTTATTTATTATGTTGCGCTACTGATTGGTGATATCTGCCTATCATATGTAATTAGTACATCACATTTTTGAAATCCAGAATATTCGTACACCTCTTTATAAGTGGTGCTTTATTTGTTTATTGAGCTACCATGACAACAGTTTGGTTTTCCTTAAGAGCTGGGCTAGATTAGTTGTTAACATAGGTTTTATGCCAGTGAAAAAAAAGAACGAATTGATATGTTAAACAAAAATCTTTTTTTTTTCTGGTTTTTTTTTCTGTATGTTTTCTGTTGATTCACTTAATGCATATTTTACTTCATCAACAGTGTCATATATTTATGCTCCAAAGTGAAAGTTAACTTAACTTGGTGGTTCAGGTACTAAACTTCTACTGTACTTGCTCAGCTATGGCGGATAATGTTAATGGGTAGATTTGAATGGGTAATGAAAACTCTGGCCTTCCACATAGATGCCTAGGTTTCTATTCCTGAAATTGTCATCAATAATTGTATTGACTTATATGTTTTATTAAATAATGGCATAACTTGTAAATATGTAAAGTAAAGTTTTTTAGAATGGCTTATTCTAACTGGATAACATTAAATTTCGTATTTTCGTATTAAATAATATTACCTGGTTAATAATTGTTGAAATCCAGTTGTAACATCAGGTATCACTTACAACAAACTGGAAATCAAACTTGGTGCGTATTTGTGTATTGTGTTTGTAAGTAAGATTGTGAGGAGGATGTTGGTTGTGTAAGGAGGATGTTGGTTGTGTAAGGAGGATGTTGGCTGTGTAAGGAGGATGTTTGTTGTAAAAGAAGATTTGAGGAGACATCATAAAAGACTCCAAAGCAACTGTTGCTTGTTTGTGCAATATTTTCTGATACTTAATGATTGAAGAAAGACCCAGTGAGATAATCATATAACTGTAATTTCAAATTCATAGATTTATGTACAAAGAGTTGTAATATTTTGTTGATACATATTTCAAGAATATTTCCTGTAGAGTAAAGGTAGTCTGTTGACTGTTGTATCTATCATTATACTGCACGAATGATATCTTACTGGCATTTGTTGTTTTTCAATCATCTATTAATTTTTAATATTAAAATGAAAGATGCTATACAAGTCTTGTTTGTTTCTTGAAATGCAAGCTCAGTGTGTATGCAGATTATAGTCACATTCAATACCTGTGGATCCCAGACTTAATTTAACATCCAATATAACTGTATATGGTGTTTTAACCACTACATCTGATATTTATTCAATAAATAATTATCATGTGTCTGGACCCTGTGCTAAAACTATCAAAGAACCCAAGTTCTTGCATAACATTTTTAGTTCACCTGGCCTGAAGGGCCAAGTAAGCTTATGGCATGGTGCATCGTCCGTCCGACGTCAACTTTTTACTTTAAACAACTTCTTCTGAATAACCAAGAGGCCCAGGCTGATGATATTAGGCCTGTAGCATGCTGGGATGATGAGACTACCAAGTTTGTTTAATTGAATGACCTTGACCCACTTTCAACCTAATGTCCAAAAGGCGTCATGTTTAAATCTTTAAATAGGTTCTTATGTATCAAACACTGATATTCTGCCTGTAGCTGTATTTAAGTCCACTTTTAAGATTACAAATGTGAGATTAATACCAGGTGAGCGATGCAGGCCCATTGGGCCTCTTGTTATTTTAAAGCAGCATGTATTTTCAGTGTTGAAATGACTAGTTCTCAGAAATCAAATAGTGCGAGTTATTGATGGTCATGTTTTGCAAGTTGGCTTTAAAAACTGAATGTTCTTTAAATTCGTCCCTTTCCCCTGTAAGTCTATAATTTTCATAAATATACAATGTAAATGTGTTTAGATTGTTACAGGAACTGTGTACTAATGAATTATGAAATATAAACAAGAGGCCCAGAGGGCCTGTATCGCTCACCTGGATATCTTATCAATTATGGCAAAATATTCTCCAAATGAGATCCAAGGGAATATGCCAGACCCCAAGGCCCCACCATTTGTACAATTTTGAATCGCCAACACCAAGGGATGCTTCCTGTCAAATATGGTTGATATCCACTTCTTAGTTCCAGAGAAGAGGTCGCTTAAAGCAATATAGCCAAATACCCTTTTTGGCCCAACCGTCAACCTCCTGGGGGGTCAGCCCCACCATTTGTACAATTTTTAATCCCCACCACCTAGGGATGCTTCCAGTCAAATATGGTTGATATCCACTTCTTAGTTCCAGAGAAGAGGTCGCTTAAAGCAATATAGTCAAATTGACCCTTTTGGCCCCACCATTTGTACAATTTTGAATCCCCACCACCGAGGGATGCTTTCAGTCAAATATGATTGATATCCACTTCTTACTTTCAGAGAAGAAGTCACTTAAAGCAGCATAGCCAAATAACCCTTTTTGGCCCCGCCCCTCAGCCCCCTGGGGGGTCAGCCACACCATTTGTACAATTTTGAATCCCTGCCTCCCGTGAATGCTTTTAATCAAATATGATTGATAACCAGTGCATAGTTCTACAGAAGAAATTGTTTGTAGCAATAAAGCCAAATTGCCCACTTTTGGCCCACCCCTCAGCCCCACCATTTGTACAATTTTGAATCTCCATCACCTAGGGATGCTTCCATTCAAATATGGTTGATATCCGCTTCTTAGTTCCAAAGAAGAAGTCGCTTAAAGCAATATATTCAAATTGACACACTCAGCCCCCTGCCCTCAGCCCCCTGGGGGGTCAGCCCCACCATTTGTACAATTTTGAATCCCCACCACCTAGTGATGCTTCCAGTCAAATATGGTTGATATCCAATTCTTAGTTCCAGAGAAGTCGCTTAAAGAAATACACGTATAGTCAAATTGACCCCTTTTGGCCCCACCCCTCAGCCCCACCATTTGTGCAATTTTGAATCTCCATCACCTATGGATGCTTCCATTCAAATATGGTTGATATCCACTTCTTAGTTCCAGAGAAGTCGCTTAAAGCAATACACGTATAGTCAAATTGACCACTTTTGGCCCCACCCCTCAGCCCTCTGGGGGGTCAGCCCCACCATTTGTACAATTTTGAATCCCCACCCCCTAGGGATGCTTCCAGTCAAATATGGTTGATATCCACTTCTTAGTTCCAGAGAAGAAGTCGCTTAAAGCAATATAGTCAAATTGATCACTTTTGGCCCCACCCCTCAGCCCCACCATTTGTACAATTTTGAATCCCCACCACCTAGGGATGCTTCCAGTCAAATTTAGTTGAATTCCAATCAGTGGTTAAGAAGAAGTCGTTTAAAGAAATTGTTGACGTACGGACCGACGGACCAGGTGAGCTAATAAATGCAATTCAAATGCTATGACATGGAAGGTCAATGTTCCCTAATTTTAAAAGATTTGCACACACTTGACCTTAAATTCAAGGTCACAGGGACCTGTGATAGTGCACTTCATATCATTTGTGGGTGATGCAGATGAACTGCAAGATTCATCAAGATTATGAAACAGACTAAATGACACTGAAAAGTTTGTACTGGTATGTATTTGACCTTTGAACTTGAGGTCAAGGTCATGGTAACCTAGCGTCCACAACAAGGCACTGCACACTGTGGGTGATGCAGGTATACTGTAAGATGTTGGAGCTACCAAGTTTGTTCAAATGAATGACCTTGAATTATATTCAAAGTCACAGGGGTCAAATCTGTTTAAAACTTTAAAAAACTTCTTCTGAATAACAATAAGGCCTAGAATATTGATATCTGGCAAGTAGCATGCTGGGATAAAGGGCTACCAAGTCGGTTAAAGTGAATGAACTTGACTTAAAATCAAGGTAGCAAGGGCCAAATTTGTTTAAAACCTTTTAAACAACTTCTGAATATCCATGATGCCCAGAATGTTGATATTTTGCCAGTAGCATTTTTCATATGAATGACCTTGACATACTTTCAAGGTCACATTTGGTCAAATATGTATAAACATTAAAATTACCTAATCTCAATAAACAAAAGGTCTAGGGTGGGGATATTTTGCAAGTTGCATGCTGAGATGAAGAGCTATAAATGTATTCAACGTAATGACATTGTTCGACTTTCAAGGTAACAGGGGTGATTTTTTAAAAAATCTTTTAACAGGTTCTTTTGAATGACTTTTAGTCATAAATACTGATATTTTGCCTTTTAGATCACTTTTAAGGTTACATTTGTGAGATTAATACCAGGTGAGCGATGCAGGGCATTTATTATTAAAACCATACCAAGTTTTTGGTGTCATTACCTGTTGCCTACATATTTTAGTCATTTTACTTTGATCAACAAGGTAGACCAAAGTTTTAAATAAGTTAACTTCACATAAAACAAATATTTTAGCCTAGTTAGATAGCTAGGCTGATCTGAACTTTGAAAGCAATGGTTAGAATTTTGTAGATATATCCTGGTCTGGATATGTCAACAACGACCGTAAACAATGTATCCAAAATGTGAAACAAGTATCCTAACAAGAGATCCCAGTGGGATCTTGGCGCCCACCATTGTACCATCTTCATTAGTTCTTTGTCAGTTGTTCTTTTCTCTTCTTTCCTCTAATCTGTTTGATCGAGTCATGTTAACAGTAAATGCACCTTGAGGTAACTTTTGATCTAAACTCAATACTGATGTGTATGAAAGCCAACTTTCAAAGTGAGTTTGTCTTTTCACATATTTACTAGTACAGTACTTAATATGAAAGAAATAGAATCGAACATTGCAATATGAGAAAGATCTGTTTAGTTCTTCCTTTAGCCATTCAGTCTCAAAATATAACATGTACAATGAGGGATCAAGGGGAACCTACATATTTAATTTGAGAAAAATCCCTGAAGATATTCCTGATAAATGGTACTAACAAACCTTCAATGTCAAAAATCGAAGATAGCTGTCGGTAGGCCATTTTGTTTAACTGATCAGTTTCAAAAGTAAACATGTTGAATAAAGGATAGTGGGGAACCTGCATTGGCTGTCACAAAAAAAATGTTTGGGTGCCTAAAAAATTTGTAGAACTGGCCCAAATAATTTTGGGAAAAAAAAAATCCACAGCATTTAACACAATGCTTCAGCACATTTCAATTACATATAACATGAGAATGTGTGTAACATGTAAAACAGAATAAAACATTATAGTTTTAATTCTTCAACCCTAGTTAAAACCTGACATGTTTCCCAAAACTCACCTCAAAGACACCCTGGCCGTTTTATATAGAAAATCTGAAAAAAATCATCACATTTTCTAAATCACGGACAGTTCGATTCAAATCGAAGTAATGACAACTGAAAAATGTACTGCCCCCCAGTTAATGTGGAAGAGACTTTAATTTCTTTTATTCATAAATTTTTCGACAGTCATCCAAGCTATTTTTGTTGGGCCAGTGATTACCTCACTTTTGACAACTTTTGGTCGCACGTGCAAGACTTTCCATTTCAAGCACTGCTGCACAACAAGGGAACAAGGGGATCCTACATATAAAATTTGAGAAAGATCCCTCTGGTACTCCCCTAGAAATAGCGATAACAAACTTTTACTACCAAAATCCAAGATGGCTGACTTTCGACCATGTTTTTTAACCGATCAGTCTCAAAAGTTGCTCTGCACAGCTAAGGACCAAAGGAAACCTACATATAAAATTTGAGAAAGATCCCTCTGGTCCTTCTTAAGAAATACCGATAACAAGAATTGTTTACGGACGGACAACAGACGACGGACATCGGAAGGACAACTGACCACAGACGCAGGGTGATTTGAATAGCCCACCATCATCTGATGGCTAAAAATCTAATCCATTGCTTTTTAAGTTCAGATCAGCCTCTATAACTTCGCTGAAAGTTGTATATAGAGGCTGATCCTCGTGGGAACTTGACTGGGTTGGTCATTTTGTAACAGGACACAAAAACTGAAAAGTACTGGACACAGATTGAACCTGGAACATCCAAACTCTAGCACTTAAAGAATATAATTTTGACTCAAGTTGTAGCTTTGACTCGCAGGTTTGAAAAAAAGTATGTTTATTTTATATGTTGAAAAATCTTGTTTTACTTCTAAATTAATTAATTCAACAGAAAGCCCTGTTTGAATGGACGTATTCACCGACAGAGCTTCATTACTACACATTGCTATGTCGATAGAGTATGATATACACTAGTTACAGCACATTAACTTCAGTTAAAATTGAAAGTGAACTATTTTCCAGTGAACTATTTTCCAACGGTTTGTTTGTGTTTTACGTCCTATTAACGGCAGCTGGTTATCTAAGGACGTGCCAAATTTTGGTGGTGGAGGAAAGCCGGAGCTTCCGGAATAAAAACATTACCTAAGTGGTGACTGCACAACTTAGGTATCGAGGGCTAGTGGTAGAAGAATGTCAAACGCCTTAACCATTTGGCCACTGCGGCCCTTGATCTGTTTGTGTTTCAGGGTAAAATGAACCTACATCTCTATGTAAACAGTGAAAAATTAAAATCAAGCATGTTCTTAATGTGAGATGGTTTATTGATCAGTACTATGATACACTTACTGTAAGAGTATTAGACAATATAGACACAGCTGATCATGAACAATGTATACAGCAATGTTAGATGTTTTATATCATACCCTATGTCCTTGCTTTAAAACTCTAGATGAATATTTCAAAATACTTTACCGGCTTTAAAACATTTCAATATTTAACATCTTTAGCTGCGGAAACCATAGCTCCAGGTCTGATTGATTTTATTTTATTTCCATTTTTTATTACATTATTTGACCATACAGCTAATCTCTGATAATGTAAAATTAAAAAATCAAAAAAAATCAAAAAAAAAATCGATCAGACCTAGAGCTACAGTTCCCACAGCTGTATAACATCCTTTGAGATTAAAAAAAAATATATTGCCTTTTTAAAAAGTGTTGGATAACTCTTCTTTGAAATAATTTCATATACATGTACAAGTACCTCGAGACTAGTATATTGAGTTTATAAACTTAAATGCTAAATGAGTATTTTGATGTACATAATGTAAGTCCATGAACACAATAATACTTAATGTACATGTCATATACAAGCTACAGAGTTCTAACACAAAACAAGGGAGTTCTAACACAAAACAAGGGAGACCACTAGGACCAGTGATGGCAATAATTAATGTTAAGAAAACCTTTTCTTGTATAATACTTCAGATTCACCACCGCGTACTGTACATAAAGGGAATTACGATCTGGTTAAATAAAAGATTATTCCAAATACATTGAATCATCTATTTAACTTAATGTGATTTAAGAAAAGTGTTTGTCATTTTAGTTTCCAAGTCAGGTAATGATAAAACTGTAAGCGTACTTCTATTAGCGCACTCTAATGTTAGCAGAACCAAGTGGTTAGGGCTAGCGCAAATATTGTTTAAGCAATAGACTTTAACACATACAGGGTAAAGTCAGGAAAATCTTTTTTACAGTTTGTGTAGCTGGTGCTACATGGTCTAATTTTAGCTATGGACATGAATTAGCTAAACTGTCGAAAACTGGTAACATTGGAATAACGCTAAAATTAATACACTTTGAGTAGTTTTGCCGTAGATTAATTTTTGAATATGAAAAATATTTTAAATAATTATACTGATTTTCTGATAATAAAGCCTCCATGTGCTGTTACAATAGCCTGTAAATTAATGCTGAACATCTGACTACATGTACAATGTATTGTAAGTAACTTATTAAAATGTTACAAACAAAATAAAACTGATTTAATCACTGTAAATAATCCCTTTTTTCGTGCCTCTGTGCACAGGTTCCTGAAGGCACAATCATTAGTGTTGATGGAGCCTTTGTGTACTATAGAAGAAGACCCCACACACCCTTTACGATTCAACAGACTCTCATGTAAGTTTAATCAGGTCATGTCTTTATGAGGTCACAGTGGCATTCTGTCTTTTCATTTTGATATCACAGTTAAACAGGAAGCATTTTGAAGTTTTAGGAATTTTGTTCGTGTCAACCAAGCAAGCTTGATCAATCAATCAAACATACCTAGGCCACCATGAACATCAGACAGTATTAAGCTGACTGGGGGAAGTCGCTTTTATAACCTGTATTATTATTAATCCAATGCAGCAGCAGTTAAAAACTTAAAAAACATATATGGATACATGAATACATACAAATAATGATACAGAAGTACTGGAGAAGCCAGACAAAAGAAACCAAATACACATTTAATATATCTATATAAAATTAAAACAATTATTAATTAAACATTGAACTTAAAAATGACAATAAAAAAAAAATGAAAATGTACAACCTTGTAGGTGCCAAATAGGGCATAACGTTAAAGCAGCTTATGTAAGCCTATCACAACTCACTGTCTAAATCACAACACCACGGAACAGCCATCATCACAAAATAGGGCGGAGTAGGTTGGTTGTGAAGGGAGCAGATTTATATATATGGATTCCAGTTTATATGAAATTCCAATATATCATTAAAGATGTTTATTGCTAAATATATAATAACCCTTTCACCCCTAAGTAACTTTAGAAGACTCTACCATCCACTTATCTGGATGAGTCTATTGTGGTCCACAGTGGTGAAAGGGATAATAGATGCACCATATCCTAGGGCAATAATGTAAACATACTAAGGCCATCCTTTAAAAATTGCTTGTTTGCAGCTTCCTGACCAACTCACTAAAAATGGCACCTACTCACACATTTTGTTTTAAATCTTTGGTTTGGAAACATTTTTTTTTTTCCTACTAAAATATCAACGAAACTTGAAAATGTGAGTTTTCTGAAAAAACCCACCCTACCTACTATCTCACTGAAAAAAATTAAGTAAGGAAACTGAAAACATCCCTTTTTTTGAGGTTCGCCTAAAACACTGGCATTTCTGCACATCAGCAATAATTCTTCAGTGACACACCTCATCAGTGTACTGGTGTGCCTACTTCTCACAACAAATAGAAAGCTCACGAAAACTTGTGTTCTGCATTAGCTAGGACTCACTTCTTACATGATAACATGGAACACTCATTACTGTTTAAAGTGGAGAAATGATTGGATTTTTATTTTGCAGTTATCTTATAATAAAAAAAATCAAAACTGTGATAACCAATAAAACAAACATGTTTACGGTATGTCAGTGAATATATTACAAATAACTTCTCTCAAATAAGGAGGGCCGTTTTATAGGCTTTGCCTAGTGCCCAATTCTTATTGTACGTAAGACCTACATGTATGCAATAAAATATTCTGAAATGAAATATATGTCAAAATACTGGTGGTGGTAGTTGTTGGATTTGATGCCTTGAAATACAATGAACATACATGTAGTTCTATATATATTGTAATTGTTTTTATGAATACTGTATCTTTACATTTACTGAAATGAACTTTAAAGACATCATATATAGTTCAGTTAAAATTAATATATATGCAGTAATCAATAATAATTGTCTAGACAATAACTGGAATCCACGAGTACCTTCCCTATCGTTATGTGACAAGTGTATACTGTTATGAATACAGTATCTATTTACTGATAGTAGTGAGCGTATACTGGTATATGAATTGCGTAACTTATAACAGTCAGAACCGGGTAAATTATTCAGTTATATTCGAGAGTTCGAGTTTAGTTTGTGTGGTAAGGTGGTGCTGTGAATAACACACTCACTTGTCACCAAGATGACTGGGGTTTGATTCCCCTATCAGATGTGAAAAGTATTGGGTCACCTGACTGACCATGTGGGTTTTCTCCAGGTATTCTGAATTCCCTCGACATTAAAACTCACTGTTCCCTTCATTCCTGGCCAAAACAAATGTGATTAATATAAGCTGGAACTTCTTTCATAACAAATAAACAAAGTTAACATTATGTATGAGTTAAGTAACTTTGATTATCCAGGTAAATTATAGTTTTTGGCTCATTCAGACTCTCTTATGCTTTGTTAGAGCAGGTAATAGTTACTGAGTCAATATATTATGAACATTGACTTAAAGCATAAAAGATGTTTTATCACATTGTTTTTCAAAATTCAACTGCCATTTTCTTTTAAACTTCTTAGCAAAATATGCAATAAGCAAAATTAAAGAAAAAAAACCCAAAAAACCCCAACCCATTATGAAACTTATAATTAAAAAAAACTGTTTGTAAAATTTTACAGATGCTCTATTCAGTTTAGTGGGACATTTGCAGAATATTAATCTTATAAGGTAAACATGATTTTAATATTTCATTATAAACCTATGATATATCTATATATAGTTCTTTCCAAAAATACATATCCAAGCAGGGTAATTACAAAGCAGTTAATATTTATATCAAATATTCCAATGTCTAATCACGTTACATGTTGCATTGACACTGCATAGTATTAAGACATTTCACATAGTGCATACAGTAAACACAGTAAAACAGGTTTACTACATGTAAGAACAAATGTCAAGCTTGTACGAGAGCCATTTCATATCAGTGTTGCTTAGATTAATGTATTTTTTAACTTTTAATTTAAGCAATGCTATCACATTTTTAAAATCAAAATTGGAGTTCAGCAAAAAAACAACCTATAAATTGTTTTGTGAAAGTTGAGCATTTGTTTGTTATAAACATGTTTTACCGTCCATGTACAATATCACTGATCTAATCTTTACAGAAACAGTGTTACTTAACATTTCCTTTCACATTGTGGGCCCTTAACGTAAGTTAATGCACATATGTTGATTCAAGTGTATTCCTCATTATCAATCCAGAAGGGAGACAATCAAGATTACCTCCCTTCCAAACATCTTTGGTCAATTATGGATACATCATAAAGTTTGTAAATTAACTTTATGATTCAAACAGTTTCTGTGATTGGATTAGTATGTACTTTCCATCTTGTTGTGCCAAAATTGTTTAAAATCTTAATGTTTGAAAATTCATCCACTTTCTTAACAAACAAACTATTGGGTATATCTATTTCAAAACAGTCTGTGTATTTTGTCTTCGTCCAAAACAAGATGTAGACGTTCTCTGATGAAATGTGTCCACTTATTCCTATAAACGTGAGATCCCGTCCCTGATAGTAAATGACTATAGCTAGCTGGCCTACATTTGGAGGCACCTTTAAAATAATGATGAGCAATTTTAAAATGTGTAACACATAACAGTTCTGCATGTTTCATTGATATTAAGACAACAATATCAAACTTGCTCAGGTTAATGTAAACATACTATCATAATGTATTTGTATATCATTTACATTTTAATGTACAATGTATTTTGTCTACATTAAGAGATAATTACTAGTCTAACTACAGATTTTCTGTAATTAGCAAGATATTGCCTCTTTACATAAACATTTTGGATTTTCTTATTAAAATAATAATCCAAAACACCCCTCCCCCCCAGTCAAAAATATATTCTGAAGGGGTTTTATTGTATATTGATTTCAATTTTTTTTCTGCTGTTGAATTTCTTATTTCATTCATAACAATTTTTTCAGACTCAAACTTTGTGTTTTTGACAAAATAAGAATGTGTGGTTTAGATTATTTCGGATACAGGTAAAAAACCCATATATGAATAATATCGCTAAAAAACATTTTGTTGGGCATGTATATTTGTTGTAAAAGTATACTCATGAAGTTAAGGAAAAAAAATACCTGCAACAGACATCACTTTTTTCCACGGTATTACATTTTTGATCCACCCTGCTGAAATTTTTTTTTCCCAGGTAATTGCAAATGAGAGATCAACATCACTGTAAAAATTAAGCTCACTTGAATGAGAGATTAGAAAAAGGATATGAAACAGGATCAGAGAAGCTGATGAAAATTCAGGAACTTAAAAAAAACAAGACTGAATTTATAATGCACCAAATGAAGCAGTGTAAGGATTTCACTTTTCCGAGCATCAACCATGGATGATACCAACATTGTACCATTATACATCACTAATTACTACTGTTAGCTTTAATTTTCATATTTTTTCTCATGTTTTTTTGTCATTATTATTGTTAACGTTGTTATACACACAAATATGACAGGAAGGGAACTCAAAATTCCACTATAGGTATGTACCAACATATATTTACTGACCTTCTTTTACAAAAAAAGAAAAAAAGTAATGCTTATTATATAGCACACATATATATACACGTACAAAGATAATGCTTTATATGTTTAGCGCCATGGGCAAATTAACTTGTTTGTGTACATATGAAAATATAACAGGATACATGTACAAATTAATTAGTATGAATTGGATGAACTGATGTGCATCTACTATACAATGTAATTATCTAGGCATATATCTATGCTAATAGACTATCTAATAATCTACTATAATACACACACAATATATATATATAGGTGTATGAAGTTCATTTACAGTTTATTAATCTTGACCATATTTGCCAAAATTAGCGCCCCTTCCCTTATAAGTGGCCCTCCCTTTTTTTCAGGAGGAAACACAATTACAGACCCCTCTAGATCTTCCCTCCAAGTCTTGACCAGGCCCAATCAATGATTAATAGTATCGATACTTTAAAGCAGAGATTTTGACTGGTGATCATGGCTGGACTTTCTGTGAAGTGGATGAAATATTTGATTTCCAGATCTTCTGCCACACTGGTTTGTTTGTAATGTGATATCAATGGATGAAATTCGTCATAAATCACCTGTTATTACCTTAATAAGTGCTCCCCTTTAAGCAAATTTTGAAGTGCCCTGGGCACTTATTACAGCAAATACGGCATACAGAATGTATGTGTTTGTGTTATTAGACACTTTAGTCTGCTATACATGTATATAATGTATTTATGTTAATGACATTTATTAGAGTATCTTACAACTATTTCAAATATGTCATAACTTACTGCAGTAATACATACATGTATAATCATTACACGTTCCTGCACATGATTTACATTTTGTATGACTCAATCAATTACATGATCAACTCCAACCTCTGATGTCATCTTAACCGAAAAATGGTATTAAGTATATGGGTTGTACGATACAATGTACAGGGAGAATGTTATATGTTCTTCATTGCAGTTACATTAAACAATATTATTTCATCCCTTGCGTGGATTAGGATCAAAGTAAGCAACATAAAAACATGTGAAATTTCAAGGTCGTCAGCTCAGAAGTTCAATGACCCAGATCATTTTAAATTATTGATATACATGTCACTATCAGACTCCTAGTAGTTTGATCTGGTGAACAAACTTCTCTTTGAGTTCCATAAAGCATAAACATAATTGGCCTGTAGCATGATTGGGGTAAAGGGTTGTTAGGGTCTGCTTCTTTGAAATTAAAGATGGCAGATATGGACTAAATTAGGTAAATGGTTACTCCAACAGTGTTAGAGGTTTACAAGGTGAGATACTTTTGACAGGCATCATGTAACGGCAAAATCATATCCGATAGAAAAAAGGCCGACCAGCAGCCTCTTCTGTTATAGGAGTAGGTAAATGGTATATGCCATGCCTATCAAATTTTTCATCCTTTCTGCTTTGTATGTCGTTAAAAGAGCTGACTATTTATTGTTATTTACAGGATGTACAGACATGTATAAGGCTAACACACATCTAAACAACACTGTAATACGTGTACTCTTTGGTGGATGTTTATAATAAAATAAATCAAAGTGACAAATTCTTGTTTTCTACACAGACTCTCCTGAGCTTCCCAAATACCACAAAGATTAAATTAGTACAGTATGCTGATAAAATTTGAGAGTGTGGTTCAATATTAGTCTGTGTCATATATCACATACAAATTTACTTTATGATGATCAACAAGTCCAGCAATGGAGAAAAATTACAATAACATCTTATTTGAAAATGTCAAAATATTTCTGTTTACCCCATTTCAAATGTCAAATTATTTACAAGGTCAGTTGAAAGTTGTATTAGCTCCTATAAAGTGGGAATGTACATGTACACATTACAACAACTATTCTAAAATACCAAATATGTTCTGTAAGTTTGGCTGTTTACAATATGACTGTAACCGCAAGTCATAAAGTAGGGGTGGGGGACTTCGCAGCCAGACTACTGCGTTAATTTTCAAGTACATGTATTGGTGAAAACATAAATTGTTTGACTCGCAACTGAGTGTAATTTTTTTTTTTTTTTAAATGTTAAAATAGTAAATTTGTTTATTTGGGACTTCAAGTCTTAATTACAGTGATGGTCACATGATAATAGAGAGACCTTTACCCTTTCACCACTGAAGACCATAATGGACATTACCATTATCCAGATCAATGAGTGGTAGAGTCTACTAAATTTACATAGGGATGAAAGGGTCAAGTGATTGTTAAACAATGATTCCAAGCTAAAACAAATCAATTAAATAGCAATGATTCTTGCATTATCTATTACGGTAACTGTACTTAACATTTATATATAATCTATACTGGCAGTCAACACTGTTTTTTTCATCAAAATGAACGTGTTGAATATTCGGACTAAGAACATGTTCCATTGCACACTACTATCGGACATGTGTAGTTAGTCGACATCATTGTTAAAAATAAAAATAAATAAAAATAAAAGAAGTCATCTGTTATTATAGAGACCTTAAAAACCCTATAGAGACCTTAAAAACCCTTCACACTTAACAGTAGATCAAGAGTCAGAATACAAAGACTAACAGTTAGTTCACTGCTTCATTTATCAGTAGGTCAATAAATTGTACTAGAGGTTGGTGGGTTTTTTTTGGGGGGGGGGGGATTTGTTCACAGACATTGCACATTACATACATGTATATCAGACTATTATCAGCATATTATCCCACCCAGTCACTGCTAGATGTACATTAGTGCTACAGTTTACAAAATTCCTCAGCTTTCTCTTGACATCAAATAATTTATACAAATCCAAAAAAAATCTTCTGTACATGCCAATGCTTGTAATTGTGATCAATATCAGTAATACTTATTAGTACAACATGGATACAAATGAATCACAATTTGACTGAATCTGTATACAAACAGTAGTACTATATGTAACAGTTTCACTGACACATGTACACTATATCAATATATATATAGACACACATCCATAAATAATACTATATATTTAACACAGAGGACAAGCTGGATCCACTAGCTGGTGATTGTGCTGTTATGGCGGGTCTTACGAATTCCCTCCCCTGCAGCATCACTCATCACACGGGACGAGTTGGACAGAGCCTGAGTTTTGGCAAAGTCAATCACAGTGTAACTGTCCGTCCTTTTGCTGGGTGATTCTACAGGGTAAGAGTTGTAGGACACAGGAGAGGTGGGTGTGGTCGTACCTGTGCCGTTTGTAAGGTTCGCCACTTCTATGTAGTTGAGACGTCCAGGTCCCTGTAGGGGTGGGGCACAAGACGGCACACTGCCACTGTTTGATGCGGGAATTGGATGTGAAATATTCAAATAGTTGTGATCTGCAGTTTTGGGATGACGCAACTGCACTGGATTTCCATTGTTCATTCTAATTCCATCTGCACCCACATTCATGTAGTCGGGCTGATTCCCAGTCTCAAATGGAGGATCATCAAACACATCACCATTTATTGTCTCATCTAACTCCATGTTTGGCAAACCATGATCATCACCCCCGTCCACATCTGGCTCTGATTGCATTCTCGGGCGGTTGACACCATTTTGACTAGCAAGCACACCAGTCTCTTCGCACTCATCTTCTGCACTTTCTGGCAAATCTAGTCTGATATACTGTAAACCTGCCGAATTTCTATTGTAATCACTACCTTGCGGAAGCTTAGGATTGTGTAAGAAATCAATCAGTACTGACTCTGCATTCACACTGTCCATTCCACCATTAGGTAAACTACGCTGTCTAGTGCCATTAGCTCCACTGGTGTTGACGTTCACATACTGGTGGTCAGCATCAACTGATGTGTCAACATTTATGTAGTTGATGTCTCTTGTCAGAGCATTTGTTTGTAAACTACCTGGCTGTACGACAAATCCATTCACTTGCTGCATTTCTATTACGGAGGATGGTCGACTGCTGTGGATGTTATGGTCAAATGCCTGATTTGCCCCAAGTTCATCTTGCTGTCCTGCTCTCTGTATGCACTCTTGTACAGCAGCAAACAGGGACTCAGCCCTGCGGCATTTGAATGCATAAATACCAGGACCAGTGGGGCAACGTCGACCACTTTCAAAGGAAAATAACTCTTGGTCACATCCATATCGTCTAAGACAACGCAATGGCCAATGAATGGGGTCTTTTCCTTTTTGATGTAGAATTAAATCTACATCTGTGACTTCAATCTTTCCAGAATTCAACTCATCCCCATTTTCATCCACGTTGTAGACACGGAATGTTCTAGAATTTCTGTCAGATCTATCTGCACTGGAATACATACATCCCATATTGGTATCGGTTAAACCAACAACTCTGACAAGTGATTACCTACAAATAAAATATTTGAATGAAGTGTAATTTATCAACATACATTAATATTATAGATATGTATAATAAGGTCTGCACAGTATTCCATATACTTATTTAACTATGTCGGGACCTTACTTATCTGTTCATGTTAACATTAGTCCGATATAACTTTTATCATTTTTTTTATGGGACTGAGGTAGTCAGAATGTCCTCCATAGGGTGGCTGAAATATTTGTGCACCAGATTTGATGTCAGCACTTCAATTAATGATATATTGTATACCGGAGCATTTCTACATACTTCCCATACATGAATGGAAAGATGTTTATTTCTCTTTAAGGAAAAATGTTTGACAACTGGGTAGATATTGTCAACCACTTTTGGTAGTAGATGCCTACAACATTACTATGACGTGGACTTTTGGCATATTCTCAGGAACTGAAAATCATTGTCATTTGCCTTGAGTTGAAAATTTTCTCGCTGGTGTGCCTGGGTCCGCCAATAAGTTCAGTTTCCAGGCTCCCTTATTTAATTATATTTTTTATGAACTTGTTCGAGGAAAAGGCTAGTGTATATATGTAGACAAGTGAAAATATGTATTATAAAGATAAGTAATCTACATTTTATACCTAGAATATTCGCACAGTATAAAAATGTCACCACATGCCATTTTTTAAAAATAATAATAAAAACGATAGGAGTCTGTGATATACAAAATAGTATAATCAGATAATACCATAGAAGTTTGACGGTGTATCAGTAGTATCGTATTAAAAATGCCCACAAACACTAGTAGGTGTGTTAATATGCGTAATTAAGTGATTATGAGACTGACAAAACGTCATACTCCATTTGTATAATCTGATAATTAGGGAATAATTAAATATAACAACCTGATACCTTCGTAATTTGGCCGTCGTTATTTCTGTTATTTCAACGTCAGATATGTTTACGAACGAAACAACAGTTCTAACAAATGATAAGTTTGAATTTATACCAGTGATATTCCCATTTGACACGTTATTCGTGATTGTCGTGTCGAATAAACGTGTCTATTGTCTTGAAATATATCATAACTACCGACACTTTCTTACGAGCATGGAATCATTTGGCAAGAAAACGAGGCGACAAAACATTGACAAATTACGACTGATTAATTTGAATTTCCCTCACAAACCCCAGAGACAGTGTGTAAACACATCCCTACTTACCAGCTTCATCTAACCGTGTCCTAGTCAGTAATTCTATGTCGTAATTTGAACGAGGATAGAATTTTAAAGTTGTCCTGTCCCACTTCCGCCATATCGATGACCTCGACCTTTAATCTGCCTCCCAGTAGAGGGCGCTGATAAGATGTCTTATCGTGGGGTTCCCTATGGGGAATTGATCCAACAGGTGGTCGGCCCTTTAGGCCCGTTCTGTTTAATGCGTTCTAAAGTAAAACAGTTGAGTCATAGTCAGGCAGTTACGTCTCTCTCTCTGCCAGTAGTAAATAATACCAGGGGTACAAAAGGTGACTAAAATAATAAAACATGTGTCTATTTACAATTCAAAATCGTTGTAACACTGCATATATCGGGTAGGTCAGAGACATATTTAAAGCATCATACATGTCTCTGGGTAGGCTCACAGCGATATGTATGATGTCTGCTTCAAAATGAAAAATATAGGCATAACGGTACATACTATACGTCATAGCCGCCTGCATCAAAGAAATGTAATAATTAATTGGTTAGGCTGTCTACCTGCCGTAGCAATCTCTGCAGTAATATTTGTTTCACATTTCCGAATCATCACAACTAGGTACAAGCCAGTGCATCAATCAACAACAAACTCACATATTCTTTTCAATACATGTAAACAATATCAATATTTAAACTGCATACCTAGGATCAATACTTTACTGTTTAATTTACCGTTTTTTTAAATCATTATACAATGTTTCTACCTGCAGGTTATTATCTTTCTCCAAATGTATGTTTCGACGAATCCACAGATTCAATGTCGCCTATTTATTTTTTATTTTTTTAAGCGGTAAAGCAAGAATTAAGATCTTTACGAAAAGGGACGTAGTGGAGAAAGCAAGGAGTTTAATTAACATATAATTTCCGCAAGTTAGTATATGAAATAGTCTAATGAAATTCCCATGGTACCCGAATAATGAGACTTTAGTCATTCGTCGGCGAGAATTTCTATGGAAAAATCCTGGGGTCTTAAATGTTGCAGTTTCATCGTCTTTAAACTTATAGAGGATGATTAATATTAAAAAAGGGATGTTTACAATTTACACCAGTCCGAAATAAGGTAATTTCATATGAAAATGCTTTTTATTTTAAGGTATTTGAAAATATATTATTTGAAAATGACACCTTAAATGATGATACACCATATCATTTGGGGTTTCATTTTTTCCGAAAAATCATTTGAGGTGTCCTTTTGACAGACATTGATCTAAATCCCTGTCATATTACTTTAATCAGCTTAGGTACAAATATGTCTGTAACAAATTCTCAGGTCCCTATTCAGTATTGTACTGTTCGCAGGTCGATGGCTTTTCTCCGGGCACTCCGGTTTTCCTCCACCACAAAACCATAGCTGTTAATCGAACGTACAGCAGTAACGAACAAAACCATACCAAACTAATATGTCACCAGCGATATTTAATCCGTCACACATGGTTTCGATTTGATTGACCTTGAAGTGTACGTACTATATACATGTTTATTTCATTCTATAATTAAGTTTCCCTCATATTCAATTGGCAAGAGTCTCTTTCATCAGCACATGGCCTTCAATTAATCAATCAAGGGAGCTTAGTAATTCGAGATTAAAAGAGGTAGGCATAGGCCGTTTTAGGGGGTCCTGGGCAACGCCCTCTCCCTACAACCACCACCACTACAAAAAAACACGTATTCTTTTGTTTTAATAGTGTGTAATCTAACTTTTTAAACTTGTTATCCCCCAACATCCAACACATGCCCCTCCCCCATGAAGTCCCAGACTACTAGTCATGTTACCTCCTTTAAAGACACACAAATGTGTTACCTCTGATGTCCCTCACCTGTTTTACGTCCCGAGGGTCCCATACAGTAGGACATTTGCCGTTGTGAAAATCAGCTTCTTATCATCATCTTAATGCGTAACTGTAACTTGAAGAATAATCCCTGAAGTGCAACTGGGTCCAGGTCGTCTTACAAGGCTGCATTTCTATTTTGAAATTCATTAAATGCATTTAAAATGGAAGAAAATGCGAGAACACTTTTTGTGATACAGTGACATAGTGGACTGGTATGCAAGATGTGATGCATTACAAAAGAAGTCGACCTATGCACACGAAATCTGTTGGGACAGAGCTAAGGATTGAGTGTAAAATTGACTGTTTGCATGTTAAACGTTTTCAACACTTAAGTGTTATTTTAGGGTGTTACAAAGCACGCTCTTTGTAATCAAGGATAATCTAATTAGCAAATACAATTTCAAATATAGTTTATATGTTTTTTCATTAACCTATGTGAATTGTCATAGTCCAGATTTTAACGAGTCAATCCTTTCAAAAGTCATTAATTCGAACATAAGTTTATTTTATTTACATTATCTGTGTCGTGCACTAAACTGCTTAGTTTAGGTTGACAATATTTTTGTTGAGTTTGGGTGCAAGATTTTTCAGTAAACTGTAGGCACTCTTATAATAACAAGCTGTTTCCCTCTTTTGGCCGATTTGTTTTTATTATCGTATGAGGATGAACGTATTGAAGAACTGGTTGGAACTGGTAAAAAAGTCCGTCAATTTCCTATTTAGAAATATAATAGAGACTTATCTATCGCACGGATCGTATAATACCCTCATGAGCTTGACATCAAGGACACTACAGACTCTTCTACTTCAGCCGCCTTCCTCGATATCTACTTACAACATGGCCAACAAGGATGCTGTACGATAAGCAGGATGACAACGATTTTTCTAACTTGAACATTCCCTTTTTTGACAGTAACGTCCCCGTCTCCTCGCATATAGTGTATGCGAGTCGCAGTTGATTCGGTATTCAAGAGCTTGCTCCAATGAGTATGATTTCCGTGATAGATGTGAATTGCTGACGGAAAAACTTGAAACAAAGTGTTTGCAAATATGTAGATTGGTGAATACTATCTTCATGGACATATGCTACATATATGTCTTTGTGTTGTATGGAGGTTGTTTTTGATTATGCTCATTTGAGATTACGTGGATTTGACGTATATTTATATGGTAGGTGTCGTTGATGAAGCAGGAGACGCTTAGTCTTTTGGAACACATTCTACATATCCCCTTACTGTCGAGACTTGGTCTCGCACGGACAAATATTCGAGAGCGAGAATCTGTGGAAAGCGAGACTAAGTCTCCTTGTACCATCAACATATCTAAACACGTTAACACAAGTGCTGATACACATTTATATAAGTAATTCATTATTCACCTCATTTTATCATTGAAAAAACTCCCCAAAACAAAGTCAGTCCTATCCGGATATGCAAAGCCGTCCTCACACAATCTGGTTTTGCTTGTATAACACCCTCCCACCCCAACCCCTACTCCACCCCAATTTAAGAAGAACTTTGCTTTGTAAGCTGAATTCTAATAAGAGTTCTCTCCCCTCATGCAACCTTTTGCTTATATTTTTCATTGCGAAAGTTGATATTGCACTACCATGATCAAATTGTGAGTAAACACGGCATGGTTAATACACAACAACAACTTCGCTTGAGCATTAGGGTTCAACAAGCCCCCTAAAAGAGGCTATAGTCACCCTTATTGTCAACCACATTCAAACACCCTAATTAAAAATCGGAACTTAAAGATGTAGTTTGGATATATTGAACTTGTCCATAAGATAATTAAATGATCCATAGTGGGGTCAACGTTGTCAATAATAAGACATTAAGGCGGGTGTCCTTATAAATATAGTACATCGTACTTAACATGCGAGACCAACTGAATGATATGAAATCACTTATTATCTGAAGTTCATTTATATACCTATCTGAAGTTCATTTATATACATAGGTCATGCAGAGCTCTTTTACTAACTGTAGATAGACATACTAGCCTCAAATCAAGATAGGTGATACCATGCGAAACTACTAAAATCATAATAGAAATTCCCTGGTAAAAGTTTTAGCAGATTATAAATAAGAAAACAGTGGGTAAGTGGCCTAAATCGATGAGTGAACGTTAGAGCATCTGCCGTTTCCACTAGACATGTTATAACTACTGAAACTGAAATATTTATAACATGTCTAAAGTTTTTTTTTTATAACAACACTAAATGTTAAGAAAGGACACTAATGTAAGGTTTAATAATTCATAACGGTCACAAGGTATTTGGTTTTACATTTATACACTATATGTTACTAGAGATATTTTACTATAATTTTAGTGTATTCCCATAGCCGCAAACATATCGTTTAGATGCCGGCACAGCTATACTAGAAGAGAAATTAGGCATGTTGAACCTTAACATTTATCGAGGTAAAAGGTCTGTAAATTACCAAATTTATCATCCAGCAAGTGTACGAAAAACTTCAAAATGTTAACCTCCGCTTTGCTAATTAATTCATTTTTTTATATATCATTATTGGTCGAATAAACTATCGACAATGTTCAGCGTTCACTGTTTAATACAAATTAATACTAATGTTACTACTATATATGGAGTTTGTGGGTTATGGCGGACCAGTTATTCAACCCATTAGAAATGAGAAAACTAAGAGATGTCCAACGACAATCATGCCGTTATTACGCTGTACTGGAATGTTATTGGTAGACGGAAGAGAGATGAACAAACCACAATTTGTAAATAGATACAGTATGTCAAAAATGAAATACATTGCATCATACAGCTGTTCTATTCCTCCTTTGGATTACTCAGTTAATGGCTGTTCAAAAGTGGCATACAGTGACCAAGAAAAAGTCGAAGTTCTAAATAATTATTTCGCTTCAATTTCATGTACTGATGAATCCGATGTCACTCTACCTGATTTTCATAGAAAATGTCAAAACTCTCTCACTAATATTGTTATACATGCAAATGAAGTTTTCGATATTTTATCAATTCTAGATATTAGAAAGGTAGTTGGCCCTAATAAGATCAGCCACCGTATGCTGAAGGTTACAGCCAGATCAATTTCACAGCCTCTCACTATGTTGTTCAATCGATCTGTCAGAGAAGCTATTTTCCCTACCGAATGGAAAAAAGCTCATGTCTTGCCGTTATTAAAAAAAGGAGATGCACAACTTCCTTCCAACTATCGACCTATTTCTTTACTTAGCTGTCTGTCAAAAATTACGGAAAGGTGTGTTTTTAAGTATATTTTCAACTTTGCAAGAGAGAATGCTATATTTTATAAATACCAATCCGGGTTCCTTCCCGCTCATTCCACCGTTTACCATTTAATAGAACTGTACCATAACATTGTCACTGCTGCTGATAGAAAAGATTATTCTTGTATTGTATTCTGTGACTCGTCAAATGCATTTGACAAAGTCTGGCATAGAGGTCTTCTTTTTAAACTTCGTCAGTATGGCATAGGGGTGAACTGCTATCTTGGGTGTCGAATTATTTAAGCAACAGACAACAATCTGTTATATATGGCAATGGCGTCTCATCATTAAAACCAGTTACAGCAGGAGTTCCCCAGGGTTGTGTACTTGTCCCCCTGTTATTTCTCTTCTATATAAATGACCTAGCTAATCACATGGAAACTTTTGTCAGACTTTTCGCGGACGATTCATCTCTTCAGAAATCTTCCTCCAATCTTTATGAAATCGAACAAGCATTGCATCATGATTTACTATGTCTTCAGAACTGGTCCGACCAATGGCTTATGAAATTTAATCCTGCAAAGACTAAAGCGATCCTTTTCTCTTCTAGAAATGTCCCTGATAAACCAAACCTGGTATGCAACGATGAAACTATCGAGTTCACTGACTCGCATCGTCATTTGGGGGTCACTCGTAGTGATAACTACAAATGGGCTGACTACGTAAACCAATTGATAAAAACTTCTTCTCAAAAAGTTACAGCTTTAAAAAAACTGAAATACAAAGTAAGTAAATCTACTCTTAATACTCTATATATATCATTTATTCGACCTGTGCTAGAATATGCTTCTAGTGTTTGAGACGGCTGCTCTGAACATTTGTCCGACTCTTTGGAAAAACTACAATTGGAAGCAGATAGGGTCATCTCCGGTCTAACGACCATTGCTTCACGCGAGGCATAATATTCACTATAAACGTGCCCCAGCTTACTTAGAACACCTAATCCCACCAAGCAGGCACGATTTAAATAGGGAGTTAAGAAACCCAGACAATTATCAGGCATCGTTGTAGTGGTTTACGGTCAGATTAATTTAGAGTAGTAATTTGTCGGTCCCCAAATTGTTTGTGCGGTGACGGTGTGGAAGACGCAAATCACTACTTCTTTACATGTTAAAATTTTGTTATTCAAAGACTTGTCTTATTTGTAAATCTACTCTTAATACTCTATAATTTTAATCTAGAAATTATTTTATGGGGAAATAGTGACACTTACTCCTATGGAACAAACATCAATATAGTTAAATCGGTACAGACGTTTTTGAATACAACAAAGCGTTTTGATACTACCTGAACGAACCTTTTACAATCGACATCAAATCTGCTCCCTCTCGACTCCTTTCCCGTCTTTCATCTACTTTATCTTTCAATTCCCCTTTACTTTTTGTGATAAAGTAGATTTAGACAAAAATACATCTACCTTATTATCATCTTGTAAATTTATCTCTATGTACATAGTACGTCACGTGATTTAAATGTAATTCATATGCTGTATTCGTGGAGAAGAGCTTGTAAGTTGTTAGAACTTGTCTCTCATCCATTTGTCTGTTTCGACAATAAAATATGTTTAAATCATACAGCTGTTTTGTTGTTCTAGGAAACTTGGGTGATGCTAGGGGCCAAAAAGTTGGAAATCCAATTGGTCTATATTACTGTACAAAGAGAGGGACAGGTAGACCATACTTTGCTGCATGCCGAAACCCGTTTCATTCCTGCTATACACCCGTCTCATATTGCCACACTTGAATCCCACAAATTACATACTTTGCGTTGATGGTCAAAATGTTCTCTTCAAATTATCCCAGATGATTGTTGAGATAATAAAACCTGAAAATGGCGAGCCAAGGTTATTTTGCATTCCTTTAAACAACAAAAAACCCTCATGATAAATTCAAATACAAAAGAGCCAAAACCGGTTGTTTTTTATGTAGATTTTCTTGTGTGCACAAGTAAACAAGTGCTGCACTTTGCCTTGTAACATTTCAGACGCCAGGTTTCTTAATGAGTTTATTTAGACAAATACGATACACGTGGCTCCGACATCGGAAGTAGATAACATTTAAACACAGAGACGAAACAATCTTAAATGACACTTTATTGTTTCACTGAATATTGTGTTACATACCGTCTGCTTATATTTGATTTTGGTGTATGTGTGAAACGTTGTCTAACCACGCATATATGCTCGGATTACATATACTAAGTACATATATAGTAAATACCTATTCTGTTTTACCTATTTCAAGCATTTTAAAGCAATAACATTTTCAGACAGACGAGGAAATCCCAATAACAATTTCCAGTCTGGCTGGTTAGAAAATCAATAGCAATTGCCAGTAAGACATTACAGTAGTAATGTCATATCAGACAGATGATGTAATCACGTTTGCAACGTCTAATGAGTAAATTCCTGTAAGACAGGTGAGGAAAACACAAAAGTAAATTCCTGTGAGACAGGTGAGGAAAGCACAAAAGTAAATTCCTGTGAGACAGGTGAGGAAAACACAAAAGTAAATTCCTGTGCGACAAGTGAAGAAATAGTAGTCATGTCAAGTTAGGCGAGAAAGGAAATAAATGAATCAATACAAAGCCAGACAGAAACAGACATCACAACATTTTCAATTTCCATTAGGAAAATTGAGCATAGTACAAAAAGTTTTACCAGGTCAGATAGATGGGGTAATCACAGCAACAACGCAGATCAAACAAGCGACGAAACAACAAATGCACTCACAAATACCTATGCAATATAACATACGTGACTGTGTTATATACAAAAGCAAAATCAATAACTATATGTATAAACTGCAAAACAAGAGAAAGACTTTTTGTCTATTAATTTCTTTACCTTTTCAAAATTCAATTTGAACGATGAATTCATGAGAAAACACATATTTTGTCTTTTGTGTATTTTTCTTTCATTTTTGAATAACAGAATTATGATTCAACTTATAGTGATTGTCAAAAGAAATCTATATACACTACTTAATATTGGGAATTAAACGTTTCGTAACATCGTGCATTACGTTTTCACTAACCATGACAATTATAGAACAAAAAAGTTTTCTTCTTTTGAATAACCTTTTCCTCGTTAACCAAGACTGTATCGATACAAAAGTCAGCATTTTATTTATATTTCAAAAGACTTGTAAAACAACTATTTTCGTTGTTATTAGTTAGTTATAAAGATAATGAAATACTTTGGTTTATTTGTTTGGTTTGGTTTGTTTGTGTTTTACGTCCTATTAATTTAAGGACGTGCCAGGTTTTGGTGGTGGAGGAAAGCCGAATCCCGGAGAAAAAACACCGACCAACGGCCAGAACCTGGCGACTGCCCCACGTAGGCCTCGAACTCGCGATCCAGTGGTGGAGGGCTAGTCGTAGCAGAATGTCAGACGCCTCAACAACTTGGCCACCGCGAATAAATACAAGCAAGTTATACGCGATAAGATACATTTCATGAAATTCGGTAACTATTATATATTGATTCCAGAAGTAATCACATGTGATTTTATGTACAACTAATTTTAAAATTACATCGCCAAATTTGTATAGTTTGAATTTAAAGGGGTATCAAAGGACTTGTTATAACACTACATTTGAGGAACCCAGTGAGGGTCTTTTAAGGATAAACATATAACACCACCTAAAAAAGATGACAGGAGCGATGCCTGCCTCCACCAAATTGACTGCCTCACAGAGTTGTCATTTTGTTACCGTACAACCAATGTTAACCGCTGGATGTCTTTAAATCAAAATGATATCGCTGTTGAGAGTATCTAGCGGTTGTGCTTATATGACAACGACAATGGCGTTGTAATGCGCTGGCTGTAAAAAAATCAACATTTATACAAACAATTTACCGATCTAAAGAAACTTATTATTTATATGTTGACAAAGAAAGATATTATCACTATAAATGTATAGTATCAAAAAGCAAAGCTGTTTATATGTATGTATACATGTATACCATGGAAACAAGTATATGAATACCGTGGATCTGAATCGTATTCTGCAGCTATTTAACGGAAAAGGAAGGTATTAAGTCTGCTCCTCGAAATGAACTTTTTCTCTCTCAGATATTGATCACCGGTTTGGTATACCTCAAGATACCAACTTCAGACGTAGATGATATCCCCGAGTCTAGGCCGCTGTCTCTCATCGACACGGAAGCCCTTCTCTCCTTGTTCTGTCTCCCGTGCTCGACATTAAACGAGTCAATACTAGTATGACTCACAGAACCTCGCCGGGCTGAACCAAAGTTATCGGTTCCCTTGATTTGTACCACAGACGACCGACGCTCATGTACATATCCCACTGTCTCGTTCATATCCTCATGAACCAGTGATTTACGACGTTCACCAGTTCTGTGAACACCTGCTTTCATACTTCTAGTAGACGTCAAAAAAGACAGCATATGCTGATCCACGCTCGACTTCCGTCTGATTCTCCTTTGGAACTCTGGGATTGAGGATTTTACATCCATAAAGGACAAACCATTCGGTCCTCTGCCTATTCCGTCGACAGTATTTCTCTCTTTACCGGTCGAGTACGCTCCTTTGCTAGGTTCAAAGTTTCTGCAATCACTGCTCAATTCTGATGACTGCACTTTGTGCTGATCTGAAGATGTACTGTTTGAAGAACGGTTCCGTGAAATAACAGGTTCGTGCGAAGCATGATTATTTAAAGCCTTATTTGCATAATCCCCGCTACGGTCATTTGAAGCACCATTTGTAAGTTCCGAAGCACGATCTTTTGAAGAGTTATTTGCAAGTTCTTCTGCAGTTAAGTCATTTAGAGTGTTATTTGCATGTTCTGTTGAAACGTGATCTCCTGAACCATCATTTGCGCTGTCTTCTCCAGTGCGATCACTTGAAGAGTCATTTTTAAGTCCTTCTGAATAACGACCTTTTGAAGTGTTAGCTGTAGGTTCGGCACCGCTATCATTTTGAGGTTGTTCTGACGTGTGTTCACTTGTCTCCTCATTTGCGTATTCTTTGCTGTTGATGTCATCATTTTCATTTCCCTCAGTGGTACCAGCACCCGAACTATATTTATGTATTTCATGTTGTTCTTGTCCAATTTGAGGTGGTGTTTCCGAAGTGCCTTCAATACTTCCCAAGGGCTTGTGTTTCTTCTTTTTTCTCTTTTTCTTGCGTTTCTCGTTTGCATCATCAGCCGCCGCGATGGGTGGTAGTTTGGCTGGTATTTGGTTCGAATCCACAGGAACTTGAGTTGGTACTGGTACCATATTAGGGAGAACAGTATCATGGACGATCACATTCGGATTAAGAGGCGGAAGCTTAACTCCATGAGCACCCGCCTCGGCGAAACCAAACTTGTTCCAACTATTAATATCCGAAGGTTTTTTCAAGTGGTTCTTATTGTTGGTTTCCTTATCGAGCATGTAATCCTCCAGGCCTTCTGGTGGAGTACGTGTGGCTTCATTAGGTGGAGGGAGTTCGGGTTTCTCTCCATCATTTGGCTTTACCTTCAAGAAAATAATTATATTCTTAGTTTATAATTAATATTCAATTCATCTTTAATTTAAGTTTAAGACTTTATAGCGCTTTAAAGGGGCGACTTTTGTTCTTAGTTTTACAACTTGATCAAACCAGCATGGTGTCTATTTCGCGCTACTCTTTCATTGCTCGTTTCGAAATGGGCAAATAGTTTGTAGCAGTTTCGAATTCAAATATCGTGTTCAGACCGCAAAAATTGAAATCCAAATCTATCCAACTAAAGGCAGTAGTCAATAATATGTCTATCAATGATGTAAATTTCAGATATCGGAGACATGAAAATAATCTCGAAAGTAATATTTTCATATAAGTACTTACCTTCTTTTTCTTCTTCCATCTCACCAGGACAATGACAACTACTATGACTATGATCAGAACTGCGATTACAATATACCACCAGGGAACTGGAAATAGAAGTACAATAGATGTGATGAAGTCCATTAAAATGAAAAATAAAAAATAAATGAGTTGATAAGTGAGGAAAAGAATGTGATAGTTTGTAAAAAATAAAAAAAAGCGTTGGCTTGTTTGTCCAATGTTCCAGCGTTCCCATGTATCCTATATGAACGCTTCATTTAATATGACAGAATATCCGTCTTTGCGTATTGCAGAGTTATCTTCTCTTGTGAGCAGGTAATGGTATTGATTGTCACATCACTGGTTTGTGTGAGAAAATTACGTCGTTTTCTCAAAAATTGATGACGTTTCTCACACAAACCAATGACTTAACAATCAATACCTGCTCACAAGAGCAGATAACTCAACGATACGCATAGACGGAATAAAGCGCTTGAGGAGGAAAACAAGTTTTATCCGGCACTGAACTTGAAAAATTAAACTAGAAAGGTTTATGTTACTGAAGCTATGAATAATAACATGTTCAGGTTACTGGTGAGGATTGAAAACGGGTTTAAGACGTAATTTAAAGCAAAAAAATCCATTTAAAACTCAAAATAATGACATGTTAAATAGAAGGTTTTCGGATTACTGAATTTTTGTGACAGATATAAACACGAACTTTTACAGTGAATTGCATTTAATTAAAAATTAACTCATTTATGTTTTAAACGTGTTCGTCATATTCAACAATTTGTTTTTCAATATGTGGCTACAATTACGGAAAAACTAAAGATAGCAGCACACAAAATGTTGGATCGGGTTCCATGGAAAAATAGGACCAAACAAATTAAATTTCAAACTCTGTACCTTTTATTTCCGAAACAAATATTATAAAACAAGACAAACCTAATGTGACGGGGAGCTAATCCTGTGGTGTAATATTACCTACACGCTGGGTTTTTTACTTGTGATTACTCATCTAAATGTTATACTATGGTGAAATTTGGAAGACTGCAAAGCTGAAAGCTACCTAACATCACTGGATCTCAGAAGTGCTAGCATCTAAACAGCCTTCAGCGCTTATTCATTTGTATAAAGTTCAGCTGGTTGCATGCTAAAACGGTTGTCTCGGACCACATTGAAAAGGTATACACAACATTATACTTTTTAAATTAACAGCCATTAAAGCAAACCCTCTGCAATTTTCTGACTATATATAATTAACTACTAAGTATTAAAACATAAATATAGCAAGTGCAAATGACCACTGAAGAACGGTGAACAAATGTTCGAATGCTAAAAACACGTTTTGGAAATGAAGGTGATATATGTTGAAAAAAAATCTGTTATCAAAACAAACAACAAATGTTTTATCAGTATCAATTTTTAAAATGTTTACTTGGCAACACTGTGTGCTTGGCAACACTGTGTGCTTGGCAACACTGTGTACTTGGCACTTGCCAACACTGTGCACTTGTTCGCAAATTCACTGCTTAATTTTTTTTATTTTATTTGCTGTTATGTTTTAATTTAATGAGGTTTTGTTCTTCAATTACCCAATATATAGACATATTCTATTAACTCTATGGGAAGCTCCATATTAACAGTTGGCTAAAAATCGTTGTTCAGAATGATCTTTTTGTGTTATTTTTGTATTCGACAGTAAAGCTTGACAAAGAAATGCCGACAACACCATAACACGTCTAAACAGAATGCAAACTTTAGAAATGACAACTTTGCGAGGTAGAGCTTGCTTTTAAGGGTATTGCATCCAGCTTTATAATGATCGATATTATCCATAACATATACTTATTGAGGTAACATATTTCCTGTTTTTAGGTGTTGAGGACTTGATTAATATTGTGTAAAATACTATCCGATATGATATATAACTTACATGAAGCTGATACTGTTTCACTGCCTTGTGGTTCTTGCTGGGACGAAACTGGTATTGCAGCGGTGGTTCCATTGGCGGTGATTGGTACATCAGTGGTAGTGGTAAGGGTAGTGGTAGTGTCAGCTAAGGTTGCGGTGGTGGTTGTTACATCAGTGGTAGGGGTAAGGGTAGTGGTAGTGTCGGCTAAGGTTGTGGTGTTGGTTGGTACATCAGTGGTAGTGGTAAGGGTAGTGGTAGTGTCGGCTAAGGTAGTGGTGGTTGTCGGTACCCTAGTGGTAGTGGTAAGGGTGGTGGTAGTGTTGGCTAAGGTTGTGGTGGTGGTCGGTACATCAGTGGTAGTGGTAAGGGTGGTCGTGGGGTCGGCTGAGGTTGTAGTGGTAGTCGGTACATTAGTGGTAGTGGTAAGGGTGGTGGTAGTGTCGGCTAAGGTAGTGGTGGTTGTCGGTACACTAGTGGTAGTGGTAAGGGTGGTGGTAGTGTCGGCTAAGGTAGTGGTGGTTGTCGGTACACTAGTGGTAGTGGTAAGGGTGGTGGTAGTGTCGGCTAAGGTTGTGGTGGTGGTCGGTACTTCAGTGGTAGTGGTAAGGGTAGTGGTAGTGTCGGCTAAGGTTGTGGTGGTGGTTGGTACAACAGTGGTAGTGGTAAGAGTAGTGGTAGTTGTGGTGGTCGGTACATCAGTCGTAGTTGTAAGGGTGGTTGTGGTGTCGGCTGGGGTTATGGTGGTGGTCGGTACATCAGTCGTAGTTGTGAGGGTGGTGGTAACACAAGAAGATCCGTCGTTGGCGCTGGCCAGACAGTCATACTCCGCGGAAACTGCTGGACATGCTATCTTAAGTGACCCACATGTATCCGCTGTAAATGAGAACAACACCTTGAAATGTATACGTATACCTGTATCATAGTTTATTCACACAAAGATTGGATCTCATTTAGAATTAAATGAGCTCAAAATCTTTCCAATAAATAAAGAACACGTTATTCTAGATTACTGTCGACACAGTATGTTAGAAAAATATATACATTTATAGGAAGATAACTGCTGGAATCAAGTGATTTGTGCATCGTACTTACAAGAAAAACCGATCCAAAAATAACCATTTCTTTCTCCAAGATCGTTTGAGAAAGTCATCTCCAAATAGTTGGACTGACTGGTAAATATATCCTGAATAACAAACATGTTATTATTGGAACAGTCCAGGGTTATAACGGACGAATTATCCTTCAATGTGATGCTTTGTCGACAAGTTCCCGAAGAATCACTTTGTAGGCGGATGTCAAGCGCAGAAACGGTTATCTGGGAGTTGCACGCAGTTTCAATTGAGCACGTAGAAGACGTCACTGAGGAGTCAATTGCATTTGGAAAATTTGGACTCCATATGTACAGGAAAGACGGATCGGTGGTGCCCTGAAGGGATGCCGAGTCGCTGCTACCAATAGCAGAAACTGGAGAGACAAACATTTAAACGTTTAATGATACATCTTGTTCTATTCTCTTTATTATGTGTTATAAATCAAGTATATTTCCTTGCTGAGAGTTACTCTATGAACACCATTGAAATTCGCTTTCTCATATAACAAATAATGATACTTACAGAAAATCCTATGCTGCTTATATTAGTTCTGTTGTATTACATATCCGTCTACGCAAACAACAACTCTATCAGGTTGCAACAGGAGGTAAACATAGCGCTTTTGTATGTAAAATTGTTCGTTTAATTATACCCATAATTATCTCATGGAAACACGACCAATTCTAAACGAGCAGTCATAATACGTTCGAACCGTCAATGTAAGATTTGTTTTGGGCAATCCAACTTGCAGGTGACATATCTAAGTAAGGTATATTGGAAGCCATGGAAATACAACATCTGCTCAAATGGATATTGTTGCAGAAGACAAGCACACACATGGGTCAGTACATCAGGAATGATTTGAATCTATGAAGGTGTTACGGTAACGTTAGGATGAGCACACAGATTTATTGCAAAATCAATCATCGAATTTGACAACAGAACCTTTAACATATGTTGTTAATTATTTGATGGATATTTAAAGAAAACTGACATCATAAAGTAAAATATTTATTGATTATTATTTTTATCATTAAGAAAAATATTTATTTATTATTATTATTATTTTATTATTATTATTATGTATATTTTTTTAAGTGATCATGTAAACATGAAATACCATCTTGTAAATGTTTTGAGAAGATGATACGCATTAATGTTGAACCCATCTGAAAACAATTTCCGATTTTATACGGTATTTTTATTCTTAAAACATATAACCAGAGCGGCATGTTAAATGCATATATGTTGAGTTTTGTGTTAATCATAAATATAATACTCAGGAATATATATATCAATGTATGCTTCAATCTTAAAATTGTTATTCTAGACCAAAACGCATTGACCATCTTAACACAAACGTAACTGACAAAATGCCAGAAGTACCATCGATAAGATAATGATATTATAGGTATTGTTTTTGTTTTGTCCCATGATATTACACCAAAGTTGATATAAATGGAATTTTTGGAAATTTATTTAAAGTGACATAACTTCATTTGTTGCTTAATAAACGGATTTAGCCAAAACGAGCGACAGTAACGCACAATCTTGTACCAATATAAACAGAAATGCTATTGGAGTTAAAAATCACTTAACTTCACCTTATAAGATTGTTTGACTCGTATTCCATCAACTAAATTCTTTGGTTTTGAAAGATCCATTGAGTTACATTAAATGTTTATTGATTTCGAATTATATGGGCATGATGTCAAAACAAAATCCTGCCAATCGGACATTTCGTAACTGTCAACTTCTGTTTGGTATGCTCTACTTGGACATAGCTACACGCCTGATGTACATGGCAATTAAGAGTAAGAAACACTCATTCACGAAAAGAGCATCGCGTACGTTTAGTTTCATGTAAAACAGAAATTACATTCCACATATGATGATGTAACTGAAGACACAGTTCAAATTCAATAGAGATAATAATCCGGTTTTTCGACAGAAATGCTAACCTGATACCTTTTGGCAAGCTCCGATTATACTCTCGTGGTCTTAAGATTTAGAGATTGATGGCACTTCTAGAATAAGCGCCCCCTGTTATTGCTATAGTACAGACGTATTACATTATCATTATATAACATGTCTTTGACGTTCAATTAGACACTGGACATGCCTTTTCGAGTTTCTTTTGAGGGATGACCTATAGTGTGCAAGAAACGATAATGCCCCCGAGACGTAAAGAGATAGCTAAACAGACGGCATAATGTTCGGATATGTTTCACCGTTGTCGATTGATTGGAGAGTAAATGCAATCAAGTTAAGTCTAATGTGGGTGGACAGAAAATCAGTTTGGTAGTTCTCATCGACATTCATTGTAAAGGCACAACCTTTAAATAGACCTCACTGACAAAAATGGTAAACACACAAAACATATTTTTGATACATTTTAGCCATCAGCCTTATAAAAATTAGTCGCAATAAAATTGATTACATATAAATAGTTATAAACCTACCTGGAATGCAGTAATAATACATGTACAAGTAGTTGCTGGTCTCCAAGTACCAAGATGAACACTTGTCAGGTGTTTCCATGGTATCAACTCGAATCTTGTCACATTCACTCTTTCCCGTACAGTTGATCTGGTATTTATAATTTGCATCAAACCCTCCTGTTACAGAATAGTCGAACGTACAGTCCGTGTCTGCTGGGGTACAGCATGTCTCTTCCTCCGCAACAGTAGAGGTGAATCGTTGACAGCCCGTCACGTTTAATTTAGCTCCTGCGAAGATATCCCTGACCACGATTCTCTCATCCGAAGGACACTGAGCGTCCATATAAACGTTTCCATTCTGGATACCATAGCAACCATATTTAAACTGTTCAGGTTCTGATATGGTTGAGTAGGTTATTCCTGAAGTATAAAATGGAAAAATAAATAAATAAGAATGTTAGACAAATAGTGAGTATTGCTATTCAACATTTCCTCTTGTCGTTATGGATATTTATAGCAGACTATTTTATTGTAAATCACATCACAAATTTAAACACAAAAGTATAACCTATGGTTCTGTTTTCCAAAAAAAAAAAAACTCAATAATTAAATATGTAATACAATAAAAATTAAAACTGTAATGCAAATAACGCTTGATATTATAAGATATTGCTCTGTTCAGTAAATCCCTGTACGAAGACATACCATACAAAATTATGTAAAATTAACGAATTGGAAACAGTCTTAAGAACAGCTTCATCCAAAGCGTAAGTTAAAGCCAGCAAAATTGTAAGTTGAATTGATAACTAGAACACCATACCAAAACAAAGAGCAGTAAGGAGTGTGTACGTATGTTGTAGATCCATTGCGACACCATCGTAACACGCTCTGCAATGGTAACACTGTCGGGCCGTCTGTTATATATAAACGCTAAGCAAACACACAACCATGCCGAAATTGGTAAATCGAGAAGTCAACCGACAAAGAAATTTGATGAACTTACATTTTGTTCCATTCCTGACGAAGATTCTACATACGTGACCTTCGTGTTTGTTTACTTGCCCAGTTGGAACAGTTGAAGGGAAAGACAATTTCAATTTTAAATCGGTTACAGTAATTATAATACATTTTATGTGTGAAAATACGATAACAACGTGTCTTGTGAGTTACACACTCTGGCCGGGACTGGTTCTGGGAACGATATTTTTGATACAATTTCTTCATGTGCGTAACTATCTATTCCTTTAATGTATAAGCATTTGTGACTGATATTCTTCATTGGTGTTAAGATGACTACAGTATAAAACAAGTGATGTGATTTAAAATTTGGTAACTTTTCCTTGTTGAAGTATTATAGTACTAATAAATATAGTGCGCATAATTTGTTGTGTTGTCTTATCGTTAAGTGTTTAGTCGCGAGATTTCAATTCACTTTTAACCCATGTATGATATTTTACGTTATGTATAAATAATTGTCCGCGTAATATCATTACTTGGAGACGATTGAATTATCTCTTAATGACCGAATGCAAAATCTGAAGTCATAATTTGCAGCCAAACTTAAATCAAACCTTAAACAATTCTGCTATCGAAACAGTTTTCAACCCAAATTGTATCCACACAAAACCAAAACTCTTACAAGTTACAGACATTTGACATCTGAAGTTTCCAATTTCCCGCAAGAGCTCAACATAGATTTACTTGTTTTGACCATGGGCTATGCAAAACCCTGATGTTAACTTTGCATCGCATGAGCGAACGATAAAAACTAGTGCAACGCCAGAAGAAGCCAAATCCTCCTTTCGGGAATGCGCTCTGAAGTTCCTCGCTCATACCACGGAATTATCTAAGTCCCTGCTCATACACAGCTGTACACTGATGGTTCTCGGTGTGTTAAAGCTGCAGCAGCCTGCTCTTCTGCTCAGTTTTGCGATTCAATTTGATTACCAGAAGTGTGTTTCATTGGTTTAGCCCTCGACAATATCGATGAACAACGCAGTAAAATGGCTTATTTGTTTAGGCTCTCTTTCTGGCCTACCAAGTGTGCTATTACAGGATTACACGTTCACATAAAACTTTATTATTATTAAATGCAAAGAATATTTTGTGGATTCCGAGCTGTCGAAATAAAAATGAATGAAAATGCCAACATATCAGCCAAAAATGCCAACACTTCAATCTCCAGCAAACCAATATAAAAATGTTATTTTACAAAATTCAATCTGTCATACCTCAATGAATGCAACGAAGTGCAACCAAATTTTAAAGTTGACTGCCTTGTCGGAGAGACCACGGACAGAAAGCCATCCTCCATACTACATGGGGTCACGTTCACTTACGTTCTCTGCACTCCTTGAATATGTCATAAAAATGGAAGACTTTGTTTTATCAACCTTGTGGATGACACAAAAAGACTTGTTAGATCCTTTGATGTACACCAAAAAGTGACTCTTTTTGAAGTCGGATATCGCTCCTTTGTAATCTTCAAAGGGCAGGTATCAGTCTAGTTATTAGCATGTGATTTTAACCTGACGCCTGAAGCTGTTTTTCGGTCCCGTACTGGTCACACCTATCGTCTGCAAAGTGTAAGTTCCCCTATACAATTCCACGTATGTGGCGTCTCATTTACAGTGGAACATTCTTAATAGAATGTTAAGATTTTAGACACATTCGTCGGAACAAGAACTTCCAGGTCCCGGATATGAAACTTTGTAAAAGACAGCGACTGGTCTAGATGCTATTGAGTATTAACCCTTTTCCATAAGAACGCATTGTTGAAGTGAAGGAGAATTCGAAATCCTTCATTGAGGTATTTTTTCTTTACCTTTTTCTTCAGTAACGCTTCCTTAGCAAAAACTTGTTTTTTAACATAACCCTAGTTTGACCAACGAACCTGGCGAAGACAATTATTAATTAAAAAACTATCGAAATATGTTAAACTCATCTTTCTTGTGCAAATTCTGGGGAAAACTGATAAATGCAACTGCAGAAACATTCAGTCTTGATAATTTTTCTCCTAGTTTACATATGTCATCGACATTCCTCTTTGAACAAAAGTTAAGTTGGCTTGTTCACATTGTACGTTTTCAGATAGTATAAACTATGATACTGCCATGGCCTGTCCAAAATGTTTAGTGCCGTTGGATTTGATGTCATTGATCATTGCATGCCGTTTATGCATATGATATATCTGCTGATGCACTTTCCATGATCCAGTCCCATTTGGCATACAAGAGTAGTGGCGGTTCCAGAGGGGTTTTTAGGCCTTCATGACCCCCCCTCCCCCCCACTCTGAGAATTTTCTTTAAAACTCATGTATTTTCACCATTTTCCATAATTTCCCCCCACTTGGAAATCCCCCTGGAAATTTCTCAGTCCGATTGGACACTGTCAGGATCACAGAGACCAGGGATTTGTTACATTTATATTTAGACCTAAACTTATGACGATGTTACAAGTAGGGTAATTGTACACGTTTTAAGGGATTGGATCAACTTCCGCTAAAAATGCAACCCGTTTATACCTGCTCTTAACACTTTATAGCCCGAGTTTCATCCGGCCCTGACACCAGACTTAAACATTTTGACAGATATATGTCTGATGTGGGCCCACACCAGACATCTAAACTTATCTCAGTATCTGTCAGGTCTGATATCAGGGCCAAAGGAAACTCAGGCTAAACACCTTATAATTAGTTTAGGTCCAACCGCTGAAACAAATTATCAGGTCCCTGTGGGAAAAAAGAACATTCGTTAAATGCCTTCATTCCTAAGTCCATTATTGTCATTATTAGTCTACAGTTTGGTTGCATCCGTCANAGCATCCGTCAGCTCCTTGTCGGGCCCTGGATGGAGCCTCCCTGATCTGCGGGTCAAATTTTCCCGCAAATTTGAAGTATTGGAACTCTTCTGTGCAAGAGATAAAAAACTTCCGATTATACCTCCAGTCGTGTTTTGGAGCGAAATGACGGAGCAAGTGAAATATAAAGTCTGTAGTGTAACTCTGGAAATTAAGCTAATCTAAAATGGAACTCGGAAAACTAAACGGAAGGGGACAAAATAGCAATGTCCTTCATGAAGGTAGGTCGACATTACATAATATCAGTAAACGCACTAGATTTCCATAACCGGTTACAATACACAGTCGACTGACTCACACGAGTTGTTTACCTCACCTCGCTCGTGCTGTGCGGTGTTACTTGGGCCTATAAGGCTATAACCCTCATAATTCTTCCGTGCTAATGTGTGTATATATATATATATTACTGGTGTGTATAGGTTTATTAGCCAAATGTATCCCAAAACCGAGCCCCTGTCATGAGTGTGGTTTATATGTTTGCAGAGCATCGTGCTCATTTAAGGTTAACGGTACTAGCGGTGCTCGGGTTCTGGAATATATGTGATATAATCGCACCCACTAGATATCGCACCCCCTTATACATTAGTATAAGGGGGTGCGATTATATCACATATATTCCAGAACCCGAGCACCTGTGGTACTACGGGTAGGCCTAGACAGCTTGGTTTAGAAGAAATCAATCTTTGTTGGTCTCATGCTGTGTTATGTGTTTAATTCACATCCACGCTATGACTTAATCGGGTCTCAATATAAAACATTACCTATATGAAAAGGTCGCAGCAAGGCAAGGTTAAAAACAAAACATAGAAAAATGCAAAAAAATCATGTACATTTACCATCTATTATTTGCGCAATGTTAGTATTTAATATTAGCATGGCATGATATATATTTGACAGGAGCTGAGTAACAATAAGCATAATCATATCAGATAAAAAATAGTCTGCCTGCAGTGGCCTTGTAGGTTATACTAGGAGTATACCAAGTGTTTGAGGCTGTCAAAAGATGATGAGGTAAACAAAAAATTAAGACCCACCAGTCCCTATAAGCTAAGGGATTAGAAATGCAGTAGTTTTCTTTGGGGACACCTATTTCAGAGAGATACTTTTGAATGATGCTAAGATATTATCATTTGAACTTCATAATAATAATAATAATTCAAGGTTCTTATATATCGCTTTATCGTAGGTCGTCTCGTGATGGTAGACATAGGTTTGACTCCCAGCATTGGAGCAATATTTTGGTTGTCTTGAAACTTTTGAATAGAAACACTGATTTATATCTCATTGTAGTTCTTTGTAAAATTAATATTTGTCCTCATCATCCTCAATGTATGTACTGTATACCGGGAAATTTTCTCCACAGTTTAACCTTCGCCTTTTGTGTCCTCTGTAATGAGGGCAAGGTTTGATTGGGCAATAGAATAAGAGAATCAGATCTCTTTGAAAAGTTGCTGCTTAAAAGAACAGTTGGGCCACTACATTCATTTTGTGATATGGAACCTTGTATACAAGTACTTACTATGATATGATAACTTGTAAGAATGTTGTATATTACATAGCTGAACCATAGTTTTGGCTATAGCTAATTATATATACATGTATTGCTATCCACTCCAATTTGAAGAATTGTGGACAAAATTGAAAATTCAAGAGTATTTGATTCCACTTCAATCTGTGATTATCTTAAAGTGGCATTGTTTCAATCTTAACATTGTTTTTTTCAACCACGTTTTTTGGCCAAGGTTTTAGGAAAGCCATTTATCATTAACAAGGGGTATTCATATTTAATGATTTTATAGCTATTATTTTCAAGCATATATATATACAACATTTGAGATCTGAGGTAAAAGCAATATTTAATACATGTGTTCTCTAGATCTGCATGGGAACAGATAGCACATCTTTTACTCTCAAGGACAATGCTCTGAAAATGTATGCAACACATTCTAAAATTCATTTTATTGATATAAATATTTATTAGTTTAAGATTTCTGACTTGAATACATATCTGATATTTGGCTTCAGCATAAAATTTATCAATGGTTTAAGTTAATTAAAAAACCCTTTTTCTATAAAATTAAGGCTTGATCAGTGTTCATTATCACATACTAATACCACAAAATGTAACTTAAAAGCCTAAAAGTTTGTCAAAAGTGAAAAGGTTCCTCTGAAGAGAAAAAAACAGTAAAGACAAGTTTCAGGTTAAACTTACACATGTGTTATAAATTGCTTAGAATTTAATTATGATTTAGGTGATTTATAGTTATTTAACTTTTGTGTAATTTCTAGTGTGAATCATTAGATTGAGTGAAGTTATAAGTGTGTATTGAGTGAAACTAGGATTTATTCGATAATGATTTACAACATAGATATATTTCTGTACCTTTGCACACTGAGCTAAAAAAAACGAACACTGAAACGTTAATTTAGTACAGTCTGACAGGTGTACATATATAATATATATGTGAATTTGTGAAGTAAAATCTAAGACTTGAGTAATGATACAATTCATAATATTTCAGATAGTTAATTTTATTGATAAAAAAATATTCTGTGGAATAATCAGTACCTAGCGTGTAATACCTTGTCTCTGGATTTTTGTCTAATTTCTTATGATTTTTTTTGTGCTGTGTTACATTCCATCATAATGAGATAATATCTAATCTAAATGACAAAATAATGAGAGATTTCAAGTTGAATATAATTTGACATGTGCAATGAATTAAATTAAGAATTATATAGGGGCTCATTAAAATATTTTAATCATTGTAACCAGGAAGTCTGTGGTGTTTTTGTTTCAGTCTCTTAATTAGTTGTACCGACTCCAGTTTAACGAACATTCCTTAACCCGTTCACCACTAAAGTCACATTGGAACCGTACCTAATCAAAGACTCAGCAAGTCCAGTTTAAAAATGTAGGGGTGAATGAGTTAAGGAAAGAGTAGTTACTCTGTGTGTAACCCTTTACAAAATACCAAATATTCAAAATGATGGCACAGAAATCAGCCGTTTACCTTTCTCTTTTTACATCTCGGGATAGAAACATGTAAAAAGTTTAGATCTAGATCTGAAGCTATTTAGTTAATTGATGTGTACCAATTATCGTAACAGGTTTGGATAATATCAGATCCTGCCAAGGTAAAGAAATGAAGCTGGAAAGTTTCTTTAAAAAAAGATGTTTTGGACGTTTTTTAGTGATATTTGTTCGTTTGTTGTAGCCCTTTAAATGATGTATAGAAGATACCAATGTTATGACACACTCAAGATTGTAATAACAAAGAGTGAGGTAAACAAGTGTTTCATGTTAAAAAAGACTTTTTGCACTTTAACTTTAAGATAGGTATGTACAGATACATTATGGAAGCATCACATCAACATTTGTTACCTGCCCCAGGTGATAGATAACGTTGGCTGATTTAGCATTCTCGCCTTCGACTTGACTTTTTCACATTATTGTACAGGTGTCATTCATGTGACTTGTGTATTTTTGCAAAGAATGTTCCAAAATAGACAGTGATAAATCATAGACAATGAAATGCAAAAGAATGTGGAATTGGTATGCAATACATGTATTAGATCCTTGTTCATACTTTTGTGTATTTAATGGTTTTTATGAGTTACTGTACTGTAATTAATGGAAGAAAATGTCTCTAAACAAACATCCTCCTCCCCAATATGATTTAACATAATATATGCTGTTTTTTACGTTATTTGTTCCAAATTTTATGGTTATGTTAATTTGCATTTGAAATAATATTTATACAAGATTTGCATTACATACCAGGTGCAATGAGGTATCTACATATGTTTACACTGATAATGAAACAAACATACATGTATCAAACAGTAAATTGTGTAGTGTTCAAACTAACTGATTTAAGTAAATGATAAGTTTTTTTTACCTCCGACTGTGACTAATAAATCATGATTTTCTGTGATTGACTTAAACATGAAAACTTTCAAGAGTTGTCGAGATTTGGAGCAGCCCTGAAAACTGATTTAACAAACAATTTTACTCCTAATGTTTACCATTAACTGCATTCAAACAACATTTCCCCCCAGGTAGCTAAATAATATCCACCACATTTCCCCCCAGGTAGCTAAATAATATCCACCACATTTCCCCTTAGGTAGCTAAATAATATCCACCACATTTCCCCCCAGGTAGCTAAATAATATCCACCACATTTCCCCCCAGGTAGCTGAATAATATCCACCACATTTCCCCACAGGTAGCTAAATAATATCCACCATATTTTGCTGATTTTTGTGAAAGCTTTACTATACCTTTCATTTTATGATGGATTAATGATCAGTCATTAATCGCTAGCATTTGAGAAACAGCAATGATTGATCACGGATTTTGAAATTATTTCCAACACCACTAACATCGCATTTTAAAATATTGTGACAAACCACAAGAGAATAAGTGTTTTGTTAAATTAAAAACGAATTGTTGCATGCTTTATCCATTCATATTTAAAATGAATTGATATCAAAAGCATTTGATAAAAATTGTAACATTTAAAAAATAATTAATGTAATTTTGTTTACATTGAAAGCTATTTACAAATGTACAATTTCAGTTATTTACACATATACAATTTCAGTGCATTAGGTAACAGTTTGTAAATATTACCTACAGCATATTTTCTAATCCATTTCCTCCAAACATTTTTCACATGTACAATATACCTGTGGCATTCCTATTTGTGTTTGTCAAGACCACATGACTTGTTTTTCATCCGTTTTTTTGACATGAGATATTTATCTGCATTTTCTAATGGTAGTTGCGGATTTATGATCGAGTTACTGGGTATTTATAGAGATGTATAACGAATGGTCATGTGCGGTCTTTGTTAAAATTGAGTAACAGAAGGTACAAACTTCAGGTAACACTTACACCTGAGTTTGTGATACAGGTAGTCTCCAGCGAGACAGGTAGATACGCTGTAATGCTGGACAACATGGTGGATGGAAATGTCGGATTTCATTGACCTAATCTTCTCTGGAGGTATTTGGGGAATGTCATTAAGTAAGGAATTATGTGTAATGTTTGTATACTGAGGGAGTTTATCCTGGTGTAGATTCCTATCGAAGGATGAAAGGTGACCGCACTGTCACCAATTCTGTAGTCTGTCTGTGATGTCAAAATCACTGTAACACTCTTGTTACAGTTAAATATGTTTGTGGTGTTCGAGTAGTGTTATTTTTACTATTTGGGAATGGGACCTGGGGATTTGGAATTCGTTAAAACATGTCACATGCATTGGTTATTTTATGCATTCCATCAAAACACTAAAAGTCATCTTATTTGTTTACCAAAAAGGTTTTTTGAACTCAAACGTTACTTGTATCATTTAACATGTTCAAAACTGGGATTTTGAGGACAACAACAGACTATTTCCCATGCAGAATGGGGTGGAACACTAGTCTGATTAGTCTGTAAAAATGACCACTGTCAAGACAAACGATTTTAGTGATTTCCTTTTCAATTTAAGGTTAAGTCACTACAAGTTACTAAAGGTAGATTAATTTATTATCAGGTGGTGTTACATAATAGCGTTTCGTGAGTTAATGTTGATATGATAACGTTTACCGGGTAACTAAACAATATACTGCATGGGTAAGTGACACTGATACAGGTGTACCAGTATATATATATGTCAATTTTCAAGGATTTGCAAATGTGGAAAATCATAAATTTTCAGTTATAACAATATATATAAATATTAAATGCCACAAAGCATTTTATAGTGTTTCCTTTCATGATATTATACTTTCAAACTTTTTGAAATTTCTGTTGGGGAGATTACCCAATTGCTCAGAATTAAAAGCATAAATAAAATGTGTGTATGGACCCCAGTACACCCTAGGGAACAAAAGAACACTTTAAATTAGCATCTTTTGAGCTTTTCTTTCAGATGAAATCATCACATCTTAGAAAATAGGAATAGTTCAGCAAATTCACTGGTTGAAAATGCTCAATTTTAGAGTCCAAAATTAGGTCTCGACTCCCTCCAAAATAGGGAGAGTTGGCAAGTAGGTGATATCAACAGTTGAATACATTAGCACTGTCTATTGTACTGATGAAATCTTATTGAGCACACAATCTAGTGCTTTCTGTAATTGAATGTCAATATTTGGTACATTACCACCTTACTTATCTCCATGTTAAAAGAGTTCCACACAGTAAAACCTCTATAATTGAACTGAATTACTCCATGGATGTCTTGGTTGAAATACATAACAAGAATGCATACCTTAAAACAAATTTCTAAATTATGAGATTGTTATAGTTTTACAAAATTATTTAAGGGAAATAATTTGGGAAAGGGAAAACAACTTACAATATCATGTGTGTAACATATAGCATACATCCTTAAATTTGTAACTTACTTCTGGTTTCCTGGTTCTTCAAATTCTCTAGTGCAATAATGGATGACACAAGGAAAATCAACAGCCCAAATGTAATCATTCCTATTACTCCATAGAATAAAGGCAAGGGTGTTTCCTTTAAAAGGTTTTGTTTTCCCATAATATTGAACTTTTGTATTGTTCATACTTTTTCAATGTAAGATTTGAATTAAAACTTTAGGTCACCATCACAAAAACCAGAAGTGATTTTCTTTTAGTATAGTTTCATAGGTGAGAGACCAGGTTCATGAATGGAATATGTTATGTTATGATACTTTTCAAGTTCTATCATGTTAAATACATATTGTAAAGTGAATTGGTGGTCAAGATCATGGACATTTACCAGGAAATGTTCTAAATCCCATTAAGGTCAAAAGATCTGTGTTATAGATAGCATATCATGTATTGGTCACATGACACATATAACTCAAGTTAAGGAGTGTAATGATCCATGATTTCATATTGTAAATGATAGGTAAATTTACCTATAACATGAAGAGACCAATATGTATATATAGATATATATTTTATAAAATTTGAAGTTGACATCATACAGTTAAACCTGTACCTCAAGTTACATTAATCGTAAAAATGGCATGAAATCACTATTGTCAAGTTGCACTTGATGTATATGAACAAACTAAATTACTACAGACATAGCCTTATAATGTACAAACATTTATCTGATGGAGTATTTGCCTTTAAGACAGTGTTCACTAGTGTTCAGATAGAGATCAGACAGTCTTTACATATAGAGTGAGCATTGTTGGTGTCTATTCACATTATCAAATCTATATCACATGAATTTACACGGCAATAAATTTTGTTGTGTTCTGGATGGAGGAAGTTTTATTTTGTGTAAATCTTTATTTAAATACAAAAAATTGATGTAATAAATTATGCCCATTACAAACATATTGGATATCTTTTTGTGCTTCCCAATGTATATTTATACTGTTTTTGTACATATATTTTAAATTAATGTTTTAAGTGACATATATTCTACATTCTCCCATCTTTTACTGAATTGTCTCTCGAATGACCTGTACAGGATTCCTCGGTCCCCCCCCCTCATGGAAAATCCTAGAATTTGAGAGCAGTGGGTCATTTCAGCAATTTTAAGTCAATATCAAAATTAAGAGCGGCCATTGTATGTAAAATTAAAAGAAAATTGGAACATGGAGGGGATGATGGCACCATGGTCCCCTCCAGGTCACATGGTTTCGTCATAAGAATTATAAAGCTCAAATCCATTCGTTCTGTTACAGCGGTGCACAAGTCACATGGCCTAGTGTGGACTGATGGGAAAGCCATCTTCCTTGCCCCGGTAAAGATCCTCAATGGACAGGTGGAACCCTGTGAATCGTTGAAACTGGGAGAGTTTGGGTAGGTATTGAGCAATGCTTATCGGGTATCACCAATCTTTCTTACAGTTAATATATACATGTACAAATGTAATTAAAGGATCCAATTTATTGTCCAAAAAAAGTTTTTGTTCATCAGCATTTGAAAGTAGCTTTGATTAATGATTTTCACCCAAAACTTCAAGTATCAATTACAGATTTTATTTTGACACAGATCTGAAATTCAGTATGCCAGAAACTCGTCATCTTTGATTTTGACTCCTGAAGTGGCTTGCAGGTGATAAGTTTTTAAGCATTGCTATGAGTTTTATTGAAAATTCCTAAGTTTAGTTTTGAGCCTTCAATAGTGTCAAAGGAATGCTTTGATTATCCTACAAATATTTATTGTATCGATTCCCCACTCCAGTTGGGTTTTCAATTGTATTTGAAATTCAATATGGCTGCCAGTGGCCATCTTGGATTGGGTACAAGTACTGTTATGACTCCAGAAGATATCTGATTATGAAACTTGCTTACTTTTACTGAAGTTCCTTACTCAAGCTTGACATTCAGCAAAACCTCATGCTTAGTTAATGAAGTTTTCTTTTAGAGAAAATTATTACAGGATCACATTGAAACTTGACGCGTGTGTATATACCTCATATACCCAAGACTTTCACTCAGACTTATGATGTTGCTGTTATCTGATTGATAATACATCAGCATATATAATATGCTGTATTTCATTCCTAAACCATATGGGTAAATTACAATAATTAATCTGATACAGGTATACACATACTGCGATTTCTTGCTACACTTTAATTAAGTGTTAACGTTAAGCTAAATAGCTGTGGAACAGGTGTGTTTACGCTTCAGTGACCAAGTTTTTTTTATAGTATTTAAAATGCACTTTTACTTTATACATGAAATAGAAGTGGTTAATTTTTACAGAAAACTTATGTTTCAATAATATCATATTTTGTCACATTTCTCTCCAACAAATAAGGCTTTAACATAAAGAGGACAAGACTGTATTTTAGTGCATACTAAATTATATAAGGATATGTACTGTGGAGAAATCTGTGTTTGTAGAAATGTAAACTTGCACAGGAAGTGTAGTTATCCTTGTTTAAAGTTTAGACTTGGGTTAAGGACAGAGAAAAAAGATCTAAGCTTAAGTTCATGGTCAGACTATGACAAACAGACAGTCTTGTTTATGTATGAAGTATTGGGGTTGCAGCTAGATTCGTAATTATGAGTTCCAAAGTAGATAATACAGGTACCTAGAGAATAGAGGCTTACACCGGCTGTGTTAAATGTGTCTTACTGTTGGGTCAGTGGTCTAGTAAGAGGCAAGTCTCACCTATAGGTGGTGGCCAGCTGACAGGTAAAATGTATCACAGGACAGGTGTTTTCTCACCTGGCTGATTATATTACCTAGCTACCTTGTCAAGTGTGGATTTCATGGTCTCGAAAAAATGAGGAATTTCATTAACATATATATATTATTCTGCTTTCAACATTTGTTACATAAATTGCTGTCTGTTTAAGTGAAATTGGGAAAAAATAATACCTATATCTTTGTGAAGTTTAAGTAGTCAGTTGATATACTGGCTTTCTCTGTGCGTACATCCTGTTTGTAAACAGCAGCTTTCATAACTGCTGAATTAATGTAGGGTGATATTATAAAGAAACTGTGTGTACATATATTTCACTGAAGCACATATACTGTACCACTTTCTTCACTCAAACTGGTTGCTGTTTTTTTAATCAGCCAGAATGAGGTAAATCTGAATCGAGATATTGTTTTTTTTTATGGTTGAAATACACTTTCAGGATCTGCATCTTAAGATTGGGTCATAATTTTAGTTTTAAACAGGTGGTCTCTGTAGATAGTTTGTCAATAAAGTGAGTTTGTCTTAATAGAAAGGTGGTTGCTATAGACAGTTGGTCTCTTAATTTGGTAAGTGGTGATAGATTAATGGTTGCTATAGACAGTTGGTCTCTTAATTTGGTAAGTTTTGATAGATTGATGGTTGCTATTGACAGTTGGTCTCTTAATTTGGTAAGTGGTGATAGATTGATGGTTTCTATAGACAGTTGGTCTCTTAATTTTGTAAGTGGTAATAGATTGATGGTTTCTATAGACAGTTGGTCTCTTAATTTGGTAAGTGTTGATAGATTGATGGTTGCTATTGACCGTTGGTCTCTTAATTTGGTAAGTGTTGATAGATTGCTGGTTGCTATTGACAGTTGGTCTCTTAATTTGGTAAGTGTTGATAGATTGATGGTTGCTATTGACAGTTGGTCTCTTAATTTGGTAAGTGTTGATAGATTGATGGTTTCTATAGACAGTTGGTCTCTTAATTTTTTAAGTGGTAATAGATTGATGGTTTCTATAGACAGTTGGTCTCTTAATTTGGTAATTGTTGATAGATTGAGATTGATGGTTGCTATAGACAGTTGGTCTCTTAATTTGGTAAGTGGTGAGAGATTGATGGTTGCTTTAAACAGTTGCTTCCTAACTCAGGTTGACTGTTTAATTCAGCAAATAAAATCTGTATTTCACTTTGTCCTTTGTTTCTGTGATTGTAGTGTCTACCCTATATCCCTTTTTGCCCCGTTTTTAACAGCAGTGTTAATGTCTTTATAACCTTTGTAAAATTGTTTTGAAAATCAAAAGGTTTTGCCATCGTACTGACCCTAAAATTTTGACAGCTGAAATTGGAAACACAACACTGCTTTTGTTTGGCCCTATTTTATTTGGCAACAAAATCAGAATCAGTTCAAAATCAAAACTTTGGATAAGGGTGATCATATCCAGTTTGCTTGACATACTGTTCAAGGAAGTATATGACATTAAAAAAATATTGATTTGTTTTAACTATGTACAATGTATGTTGTAATACATGTTGTGATTCATGACACTTTGCAGTGACGAGGATGAATTTTTAGAAAGTGAAACTGTTGATCTTGATGAGGATGAGTAAGACATTTTTAAATACTTCTATCTGGAACAATGACTTCTCAAATGTCATCAAACGAATGCTTCTAAAAATCTTTTTTGAGTGAACTGGAATACCTGGAATAATAACTCAAATTGCATCAACTCTTTAAGCATGGATCTGTTCTTCTGTGGTAAATCATTTCCACTTTTAGGCATGCTGTTGCTACATACTTGGACTTACGTAACGACTTACATAAACAGTACTGTTCAGTACTCTTATACCTACTTTCCAACAAAGTTTTTGACTTGTACAGCAAGAAACAACCGTTTTGAGATATGTATACAGAATTTATGAAATGATTATTGTACGGCTGGAAATGTTCACAGGGGATTTAGTTTCGCTTAATTTGTGGTCACCAAAGATATTGCAAAATGAAATACCAAGCCAATGTTATTACTAACATGAATCACAACTTCTGTGAGTATATATATTTTAATATTTAGACAATAGATAAAGTCTGCTTACCAGTTTACTACCAAATAATGCAGACCAAACAACAATTCAGTTGCATGTTTTAATTATTTTTCACACTTGTAAAATAAATCCTCTCAAGCAAATAAAATATAAAAGTACATGTACCATTGTGAGCTGAATATTTTTACTTGGCCACATTGCGCAAAATTTGATCTCTGCAAACTAGTTCTGATTCGGGTAGACGTGAAATAATAACCCCTGGTAAATGAAAATAAAGTTTATAGTTTTATACTTCATTTTGAAGGGATAGAATCCTAGTTCTTGATCTAAGTGCATGCCTGGTACTGTATGTACATAGTGTAAATATATTACATGTACTTGTGGTTATGTGTTATACCAGGAAGGAAGTGATCTGTCAGCTTGACAGTACCAGTATATATAAACAACCCCCAGAAGTCTCTGTAAGATAATGTTATATGTGATGACCTCCAGTGTCCGGTGTCCGTCTGTCCCTCCATCCTCACACTTCCTGTCACCTATATCTCCCTTTCTCCATCTTTCCTGGGCTGAAGTGAGGTTTTTAAATGGAGTATGTATCAAGGCACTTTCCAGTTAGTCTTTTCAGCAAACTGTATTAAAAAAAAATCTTTGTGTAGCTTTACTTATTCAACAAGTGTACCATATTCCTGTTATAATATTTAACAATCAAACAGTAAAATTAGCGAAACTCTTCAATTTACTGTGACTACAATTGTTCCCAAGCAATATGCTGTGTACATGATGTGCTGGGGCTGTGTAAGCTATCACCAAATGCCGTTTTATTTTCTGATAGGGCCTTTGGCTTAAAAATGTCCAAAGTTTATCAAAAGAGAATGTATTTGTGAATAACTTGACTCAAATAAATCCTTGTACATATATATAATGCCTGCCAAAGGCAATAGATGGTATACTGTGATAGCTGGCACAGCCCTAGTACCATATGTACATCACCGTATACAGCAGTGTGGAAAATAAAACAATTCAGTCATTTCATATTCTTATTGTTTCATTGACACTGTACTACAGTGGCCATTCCTCATGACCTGTACAGGTTTATGGAATGGCCTGCTGTATCCCACTGCATGAATGTAAGTGGTGACTAAAGTGGGCCCTACTGCAGAATTCAAAATAGGAATGCTTTCTGCGTCTTCTTTTTAGGAGACATTGGGGAAACCAAGAATAGACCTGCTGTTTCTCACTGCATGTATATCGTAACACGTGATTATTGAAGGCCCACCTGGAGAATCATGGATTTTCCTAATTCTGTGTCAAAGAGAATGGTGAAGAGACCATATTTGATGTTCTGCTCTCATTGCAACATATTTTGGATATTAGTCTTTCCTGTCTTTCCTAAACTATTTCTTTCTTTCTTTTCTTTTCTTGCTTTCTCATGGTGTCTCCTTGGGTACCTGTCCTCACATGACCCTGACTGTTGTGTCTCCCTGGTCACCTGTCCTCACATGACCCTGACTGTTGTGTCTCCCTGGTCACCTATCCTCACATGACCCTGACTGTTGCAAGGACGTTAAACCACAGTCCAAAAGAATAAATTTCTCTTCATTTTCAGTATTAGGAACTGCCCATGTTAGCATCAGCCTCGGATATATCTCAGATCTTATGTAATTGTGTGTATGCTTCATGATAGTGATGTATCTGGTTATTGTAAAATAATATATTCCTTATCACTGTCAATCCACAGCGATTAACTTATGTGACAGCAGTGTTTGGTGATCATATTTATACATTAATACCTTCTCCTTAGGGAACTGCTAATATTTAAGTGTTGCTCTGAAGAAAAAAAATAGTACAGGTACATGATCCACCAGGTGAAGACAGTTGGTGCAATATTTGTGCTAACGTTCTTACTGCAGGTTTGGTAATTATTTATTTAGTCACACTCGGTACTCTAAAGTTTACACTCACTTCTCTCTCTGCACCCCAGGAAAATGTCATAGCAAAATTGAAGATACTAGGCTGGGTATTTGATTGTTAAAAAATCAGACCGATCACTGGGCTGATACCTGTTCTTTGAAGATAACAGAGGAGCAAATTTACTCGACCGAGAGATTCATTTATGTACATTAAAGGATCAAACTAGTCTTCTTGTCTCATCCACATGGTGGTGTACACTGAGCATTCAATTTTAATTGCCACGACAGAATCCAGGGGTGCAGAGAGCTAAAAGTGAGCGTACGTAACCCCTGAAATATCGAGGATGGTACATATTTTTAGCTCACCTGGTCCAAAGGACCATGGTGAGCTTATGCCATACCGCAGCGTCTGTCGTCCGTCGTCCGTCCGTCAACTTTTCCTTTAAAATGCAACTAATCCTGAACGGCCAAGTAGATTTTGACTAAATTTGGTCTGGAGCATCCTTAGGCCAAGGGGACTCAATTTTGTATGAACCGTGGGTCTGGCCCCCCAGGGGACTGAGGGGCGGGGGCCCAATAGGGGAAATATCGCAAATTCTTTAAAATCCTTCTTCTTCTGTAGGAATGAAAGGATTTGGTCTGAAGCATTCTTGGGTGAAGGGAAACCAATTTTGTATAAACAGAGGGTGTGGCCCCCCAGGGGCCTGAGGGGTGGGGCCCAATAGGGAAAACATAGCAAAATAATCTTTAAAATCCTTCTTCTTCTGTAGGAATGAAAGGATTTGTTGTGGAGCATCCTTGGGCCAAGGGGACTCGATTTTGTATAAACCGTGGGTCTGGCCCCACTGGGGCCTGAGGGACAGGGTNTGTCCAGGTACAATGTATACATAGCTGAATTGCCAAATAGCACCTATGACTGTAAACAGTCAATGAATGTCCTAGATTTTTATCATGTGATATGCATGTTACTTATACTCTATAATGCCTTTGATATAAGTACAATCTAAATGACTGCTGTTTTGTGCTTACCTACTACACATATACTTAATAAGTAGACACATTCAATTACCTGGTATTATACTTTTACTGTAAAGAAACATGGATGAGTATCTGCATGCATGCATGTTTAAGTAATTTGATGTAAAGAGATTTTCTCTGTGACGTTTGATATGTAAATTTTAGAACGCATTAAGTTGACTTTTTTAAAATCAATTGTCAATATCAGTTTCAATTAAGTTGTTCATTAGTTTGTTGAAGATAAGTCATTGTGATATTAATTGACTTTATTAGTTAGTTAGTCATAATTTATACAACAAGATTTGGGCTATATAGAGGCATTTGGTATACTGTAAAAGAGGACATTTTTGCAGTGTGGAAATGTTCAAGTTTTTTCGCATTGAGTAAATTAGTGCCAAAATATCCACACATGAATGATTATATATAGATTATAGATAAATAGAATACATAGTTTTTAGAACTATTGCCAACATAATGCTGCAGCATGCAATCACTTTAAAGGGTCAAAACGTGAATATTTCCATTCGCCAAAAAAAGAGTAACTCAAGGAAGACGCATGAAGAAATTTAAAAAAACAACACTTGGGGACCTATAAATATATTGGCGATAAGCAAGTTCAAAAGTTGGTAAATAAAAATGGGGCATTGTAATGGCGTTTCCTTGTAGTTGACTATATACAGGTTTATTTTGGGCTGTAATGTCTTTGTATATGTATAGAAAATAATTTTACAGAATCGTCATGATGCAAACCTTACCTTGTATGCAGTATCAGCTGATGTTATAGAGACACGGTAGTCTAGTGGTAGGACACCGGGCTCGTGTCCATAGGGTTGCGGGTTTGAGTTGTTGTACGGCACTGTGTTGTATCTTTGAGCAATATACTTTACTCTGCTTGTTCCAGTCTACTCAGCTGTAAATGAGTATGTGGTTGGGCAGTGCTAGAATTGTTGAATGCTAGCTGTAAGCGCCGAAAAGACAGCTGCGGCTGTATGCTCCCCAGGGAGTTGAGAAAGGTATTGGCTGGTTGCAAAGGCCCTATAACCACGGATAATAATTTGTGAACCGCTTTGAGACGACCTACGAGCTAGGTTGTGATAAAGCAGTATATAAGAACTTCGAATTATTATTATTATTAATTTATCTTGAATTGTCTTTTCAAATCAATCAAATTCAGTTGGTGACAGATTATTTTGGCTTAGTGTGCTTTTGATGTAGCATATTCATATTCGTTTCCAATGTCTGTTTCAGCCAATCGGTAAAGAGTATTCATTGGAGCAGCGACGTTGGTCCCAGCTTGTGTTACTTGTGTGTGGTCCATCCCGAACATGTATCCGTCTGGAAGGTCGAGGGTCATGTACCTAAACTCAGTTTCAAGCAAGTCCGCAAACTCAATGTTCAGCCTATTCAGCAAGGTAAAATCCTTTTGTATCGAAACACATTTATATATGCATGTTTTTTTTTTGTTTTTATTCTAACATGTCAGCTAGGTTTTAGAAACCCTGTTGTTTCACCTATAAGTTTCACTAAGCATTTTATATTTTCCTAATTAGAAAATTTGTTCACGAAATAAATGTCATTCTAATTTGTAATCAGTAAGGACTATGATATAGCTTAACAAACTGTGTATCTGTCAACATAGAGGATAAAGTCTCAGGTGTTGCATGACAGGTGTTAATCACAACTGACATCACAGGTGTCATTATCACAGGTTTCATTTCTCCTTGATGGTCAGACTGTAAGTTTGAACAGGTATAAACATGTCATTGTTGTGATTTAATTGTAAGCCATGTTAAAACAGTCTGAAGTATCTATATATCACATAGTCATTTGATGGCATTTGAATAATCTAATTTGAATTAAAGTTATTATTTGAAATTGAAATTGAAATTATTTGACTTCCAATTATAAACTTAAGTACCATATTTGCCCTTAAAAGAACACATGCTTGATGAAGTATTTTTACTGTAGATAAGAAAAAATATTTACTGCGGTTTTTGAAAAATGTGTTGACTATCAAATCATCATGCATATTAAATATATTAAGTTCATGTAAAAAACACATCAAACTATAGGAAAGGCACATCCAATATTGGTACGATTGAATGCTTCAACTATAGGGTATAATTTAGAGCCACTTTGGCAATAAACAGATTTCATTGGACCTGAGTTTAAATATTTTGTGAGGTACAATACAACATCTTCAAAACCAGCATTATAATTTGTACAGTGGTACAGCTGTGGCAATATCTGTTCTAGTGAAATTGTTCTAAAATTGTGTATCACAATGTTTCGCCTCAAATTTCAAAATACAGTGGGTTAAGTTCTAATCACTATCTCTAGGTTGATTAGTATATATTGTATAGGATCATATCGCACAACCAGTGAGTGTTTATGTGTGACAATTCGACGACTAGTACGATATGTACTCTGTCATCTTCGTCAAACCCTAGCAACATTGATCCTTGATAGCACTTTGTCCGTACTTTGTTAGGATATTTCTAAACTTTTTCATCAGGTTCATTAAAGCGGTTATTCCCTAATTTTAGGGATGAGTACGCATTAATTCCTTGCTCAGGGGCAAGAAATTCAGCCTCTATGTAAAGGGCACCTGCACTGCTCCTCGGTATATACATGTATGTTGTCCATATACCATGTGACTTGCGGTATATCAAATAACTTGTATGTAGAAAGTGCAATTACACAGCACACCTGTAACATTGATTGGAATTAGGACTGAAGGTACATACTAATGTATTATATTTCACAGGCTGTGGTGCAGGATTTGTTTGTATGCTACAATATAAGCTGTGTATAATGTGTCAGCTTTCAATCAGATTTGATTCCAGAACTTGATAGCATTTAATATCAACAAAATGAATGACCCACGTTCCCCCTAGACTACAAGCACCAATCTGAACCCTGGCTATTAAACTGGTTGCTTTCCATGAATATTCAGCAGATTGTATAAATCAATGCCTCAAGTGGAATAGACAGTTATATACATGGTTATATACTTTGTATTTCCTGTTGTAAAGAGCATGACTGTCTGAACCAGATTCAACCATATATGCAGTGATACAGCAGAAATACTGGATTTGTATCATGTTTCCAATTAAAGTACCATATCAATGACTTGGCAAGTCCAGTTTAAAGATGCAGGTTGAATGAGTTCAGGGTTAACATGATGATTGTTCCGGACTCACATCCGAGACACATCCGAAAACTAAACATTGAAATTACACACAGAAACTAAATTGACTGGAAGCCCTCCAAACTCTCTTCCTCCCTTATATCTGTGATGTCATTGCAGAGATTGAAAAGAAATTAGGCAGTTAGGATATTTTTGTCATATTGTATTCTTTGAGCTGTACATGATACATTGTACAGGTGTATATGCAAATGTATGTAATCTACTGTGTTCACACATCCTGTGTCTGTAAAGTGTGATGGTCAGTCCTTCCACAGCTGGACAGTCCCTACACCAGTAATACTGGCCTATACTCAGTGATCAGGTTGAGAAAAGAGGCTTATATATTGTGTCGCCATCACATAGGATATATTGATCACTCAGCTTAGCAGGTGTCTCAGGTTCTAAATAGTCTTTTGTTAAATGCTTATTGATTTTGGTGATCCATAAGGATTATTGAGAATTTAGGGTCAAAATTGGTCATGATAATTATGATTTATTCCATTAAGTGGTCAGTGGACTTTTTCAAAGATGAGAACTATTGGACAGCAGTGAGTTACATTGTTGTTATAGTTGGTGAATTTTCTGCATCTGATTGGTTGGTTTAAATATAAAAAAAGAACTAGATTTCTTATATATTTCACATTATATTTTTCTTTTTTGCATAAATTTCTGTTGGAGGTACATTTCGAGTGAGGTTGAACACGCACCAAGGTTAAAATGCATATATGGCTGAGAGTCGGGCAATCTTCTCGAAACTTTTTAGAATAATTAAGCACGATTATACATTGATAAGTACATGTATAATACAGTAAAGCCCACTTATCTTTTTTATCTTAATGCCATAGGTAGTAGTAAGGAATTCTCTTACAAACAACAAACTACATAATGAATGATGTCGTTAATGACCTTTAGTCATATATACTCTGGGGTTTGTAATATAGAAAATATTGTTTGGCTATATCAATATCTTAACCCGTATCAGACTTAAATGTAATACTGTAAACTGTAACACTATCCTGAGGCCTGAAGCCCAAATATATCATGCTGAGACCCAAATATCACCTCCAGGACTACAGTTCTACTCTGGCTGAGGTTATGTCTGTCCTTCATTTCGCTATTAGAGAGGTATAGGTGTATGTACATAGACAGATGGTTTGATACAGAAGTTACATAATATTGATTTTGTATTGTTAACAGGTGGGTAAGGGTATACATGGCTGATAAAGTTATTAGTACTAACAGAGATACATTGTACTGTCATCATTATAATAAATAGTTAACAACATCAATACCTACCTGTTAGCTTAATTATCTATTTCACTTGTCTGCAGGACTCACTTTTTGCTAATTATTTGATGGTATTTACACAGAAACAACTTATTTTTCTGCTCCGACTGACTTGTTCAAGGACAGCTCCAGACACACTATTATAGATTGATTAGGGTTGGTTGTAGGCTGTCCATCTGCCCATGTATTACTTCAGGACATAAAGTGTATGTCATGCTCTATGACCTAAGCTGGACAATTTTGTATGAGTACCCTGTATGATTACAGAGTGTTAGGTGTTATATCTATGTCTCATCCCCAATGATATAGAGTTATGGCCCTTTGTTCAGCGATCTTAACTTAATCTGGTGAATATCTCGTATACTCTGTCAAATTAATTACATGAGTACTTCTTGGAATTGCAGTTCTCCTATCTGATAATATACAGAGTTATGGCCCTTTGTTCAGCAATCTTAACTTAATCTGGTGAATATCTCGTATACTCTGTCAAATTAATTACATGAGTACTTCTTGGAATTGCAGTTCTCCTATCTGATAATATAACTTCTTGGAATTGCAGTCCTGTCTGATAATATACAGAGTTATGGGCCTTTGTTGATGTGCTTCACTTTGTCTGGGTCATATCTCGTATACTATGTCACCTACAATTTCTAAATCTGTCTAACACTTTTTGGGTGGTTAAATGATACACTAAAATTATGTCTCTTCTCCCATAATTGGTAGAAGGCGAGAGAGTTATCCACTGCACTACACGACGACTACCCAGTTTTGTAGGAATAATTAAGACTTAGTTTGTTTTTAACACAAACATGAATTGAAAACTTTTTTTGCGAGCTTTCAAAAACATCTGTTTCCTTTGTCAAGCAAAGAGTGCAAAATAATTGTTCAATTCCTGTTTGTATTAAAACAAACTTAGTAATACCAAACTAATGAATCTTTATTCCGAACAGTGTTAATTTAGCATTCTAACAACATTATTGTTTATAGTTGTTATTGGCTTTTTGATGAGGTCATGTTAGATGCTATGTGATGGTGTAATGCAAGACTTGCTATCATAGCTCTAGTTTACCCTCAACTTTCCAGGTTGTCTTTGGAATCCAGGCCGGGACATTCTGTGTGTCCTCAGTAAACAGCAGTGCAGCTTCTTCTTCAGACATACACAGAACAGGGGCAGCTATGCCTTCCCTCCCATAGAGAGGTAGGTTCATTATATCCAGACAAACAAAGAACAGGGGCAGCTACACTACAATTTCCATTGCATTGTGAGGAAAATTTAGGTACATTATAGTCACAGACAAACCCAGAACAGTGGCAGCTACAGCTTCCCTCCCATAGAGGTAGGTTCATTATACCCAGACAAACCAAGAACAGGGGCACTTATGGATACTCTCCAATAGAGAGGTAGGTTCATTATACCCAGAAACACGAACAGACCAGGGCAGCTACAGCTTCCCTCCAATAGAGAGGTAGGTTCATTATATCCAGACAAACCAAGAATAGGGGCAGCTATACCTTCCCTCCAATAGAGAGGTACCTGGTAGGTTCATTATACCCAGAAATACAAACAGAACAGAGGCCGCTATAGCTTCCCTCCAATAGAGGGGTAGGTACTTTATACCCGCAGGTACATCATAGTCCCAGACACAAACAAATCAGGGGCAGCGACACCTTCCCTCCCATAGAGGGGTAAATACAGTATAGCTACAGACAAACCCAGAACAGGGGCACCTTCACCTTCCCTCCAATAGAGTGGTTGGTGAATAATGTTCGGAAACACCAACAGAACAGGGCAGCTACAACTTTCCTGTCGTAAAGGACTAGGTACGTTATACCTGTATACAAACCCATAGAGAGGTACATGTAGGTATGTTATAGTCCCAGACACAAACAGAACAGGGGCAACTACAGCTTCCCTCCAATAGATGGGTAGGTACATTATACCCGGAAACACGAACAGAACAGGGGCAACTACAGCTTCCCTCCAATCGATGGGTAGGTACATTATAACCGGAAACACAAACAGAACAGGGGCAACTACAGCTTCCCTCCAATCGATGGGTAGGTACATTATACCCGGAAACACAAACAGAACAGGGGCAACTACAGCTTCCCTCCAATCGATGGGTAGGTACATTATACCCAGAAACACGAACAGAACAGGGCAACTACAGCTTCCCTCCATTCGATGGGTAGGTACATTATACCCGGAAACACAAACAAAACAGGGGTAACTACAGCTTCCCTCCAATCGATGGGTAGGTACATTATACCCGGAAACACGAACAGAACAGGGGCAACTACAGCTTCCCTCCAATCAATGGGTAGGTACATTATACCCAGAAACACGAACAGAACAGGGGCAACTACAGTTTCCCTCCCTTCGATGGGTAGGTACATTATAACCGGAAACACGAACAGAACAGGGGTAACTACAGCTGCCCTCCAATCGATGGGTAGGTACATTATTCCCGGAAACACAAACAAAACAGGGGTAACTACAGCTTCCCTCCAATCGATGGGTAGGTACATTATACCCCGAAACGCAAACAAAACAGTTATGTCTACCTACTCCTTCTCCATTTCCTAATCACATAATTCTGGTCCTGCTGATCTGCTTAACCTAGTATAGAGTATAAGTAGTGGACTCAATTCTGTATCCATGCCAAAACAAAGTTCTTCTTTATACAAAACTGGTACTTGAAAAATCCATGTCAGTTGATCCTGTCTGGAAAGTTGTTATATACATGTTTACTTGAAATTGTCATTGATTTCCATAAGCATTAAAAATGATATTATACCATTTTCAGAAAATATTACATACAATGTAACACATCCTCTGAAATAGAAGTTAATACTTAAAGGGGAGAAAGCAATCTTTATGTTTTGTTAGTGAGAAGATTTCCTGTATTTTGTTTTACTGTATTATTGTTTAAGTGGTAAGATCGAAAGTGGTGCCTCGTCCTTTAATTAATATGTAAAGGGTAGAAAGCATTCCTCCTGTTTTGTAAGTGTTGATATTTTCTGTATTATTGTTTTACTGTGTTTACGTAGTGGTAAGATCAAATGTGGTGCCTGGTCAAAGGATGGAAGTCAGCTGGTGCTGTGTGTAGGGGCCATGTTACTGGTGAGTACATAGACATACAACTGGTGCTGTGTGTAGGGGCCATGTTACTGGTGAGTACATAGAAAGTCAGCTTTTGGATGCGATGGAACCCATTTATATAAACTTTATTTAATTTACAACAATTATGAAACAAGTTTTTAGCTCACCTGCCCGAAGGGCAAGTGAGCTTATGCCATGGTGCAGCGTCCGCCGTCCGTCCGTCAACTTTTCCTTTAAAACGCTACTTGTCCTGAACGGCCTAGTAGATTTGGACTAAATTTGGTCTGGAGCATCCTTAGGCAAAGGGGACTCAATTTTGTATAAATTGTCCCCACCCCCCCTGGGGGCTGAGGGGCGGGCCCAATAGGGGAAACATAGCAAATTCTTTAAAATCCTTCCCCTTCTGTAGGAATTAAAGGATTTGGTCCATATTTGGTCTGAAGCATCCTTGGGTGAAGAGGAACCAATTTTGTATAAACCATGGGTCTGGCCCCCCAGGGGCCTGAGGGGCAAGGCCCAATAGGGGAAACATAGCAAATTCTTTAAAATCCTTCTTCTGTAGGAATGAAAGGATTTGGTCCATATTTGGTCTGACGCATTCTTGGGTGAAGGGGAACCAATGTTGTATAAACCGTGGGTCTGGCCCCTGGGGCGGGGCCCAATAGGGGAAATAGAGGTAAAACCTGTAAAATCCTTCTTCGACCATCGGGATTAAGGGATTTTATCCTTATTTAGTCTGGAGCATCCTTGGGCCAAGGGGACTCAATTTTGTATAAACAGTGGGTATAAACTTCAAACAGAGCCCCCACCCCTATGGGCATAGGGGTGGGGCTCTGTTTGAAGTTTGTTCTCGCTATATCTCAAGTAGTGGATGGGTCTTTCTGAAATTTCATATGTACTTACAGCACCTACCATTGAGTGTTATATCTTTACCTATACCAATTATTTTAAACATATTCAGGTAAGCGATACATGCCCTCTGGGCCTCTTGTTACACCTTAAACTAATCACTCTTGTTGGCCCAGATGTTAGTGCACGGGTGGTCTTACAGTTGGAGGTAACTGGAGTACCCGGGGAAAACCCATGTGGTCAAGCAGGTGACCCTATACCTTTTCATGTCCAATCGATGAATTGAACCCTGACCGCCTTGGTGAAAGGAAAGTGCGCTATCCACTGCGCCAACCGACCACCCTTTTGAACTGAATCTGTAAATTTGTATAACTGGTTCCAGTTTTCATAATTGCGTGTAATTCTGATTTAGTGGCTTGTAACAGGTCATTTCTCCCTGTTTCAGATTTATACATGGCCAGAGATTGATGTGTCCATCAGTGACTTGACCCCCACGGCCTGGAGGATACCCAAGTAGGTGTAAACTGAAGGGCTGTAGTTCAAATTTGTTTAAACCTAAATTGCTCATCTGTGTTTGATGTCAAGCTCTATAAAAAAAACTATCTCAAACATGTAATATTAATTATTTATGTGAAACCAGCTTGATGGTGTTTTATAGTGAATTGCATTAAGAGGACCACATTATCAAAAAATATTTGGAGATTACTTTATTAATTGTTATTTTAATTATTAAGTACTAATAAATGTATACTGGACAAAATAATATGTTCTGTTTTGTCTGTGTCAGACTATGCTGGTTATATTTTGTAATACTGATTTGTTTGTGTAGACTGGATGGAGGCGTTTGTTCCATTGTGTCCCTGTCTAACGACGCTGTTGTATGTGCTGCAGAGCTGCCTCTGGAATCTCTGTGTAAGATGCAGGACACCTTCATAACACCAGGTAAATAGATAGGCCAAACGAAGCATGTTCTGTTCTCTGTTAACTTACCTTCCTTTTTTTATATGCTGATTTTGACTTTTACTGTTGAAATGCAGAGGTTTGTCCTATATAGCTTGGAATTGACAAATGATCATGGTGCAGTGAAATACAAGATGGCCACCGTTCAATCTGATTGATGGAGATAAATTTCTTTTTCGATGTCCATTATGACCTTGATCACACATTGATAATGATTCTGTCATACTGTTGTAGTCCTGAAAATGTGTCATTGTACAAGACGTCATAGCAGCACACATGCTTTAACGTTTTATAATTCCTCAGAAGTGTGTCAGTTTAAAGTTTCAATGTTTCTCTTATTTTATTATAGCTTTTATTTTCACCTTGGGCTCACACTACCAAACTACTTCAGGTCTATCGGACCTTTTGTTGTTCCTGCAATAAGGAACATTGATAAATTATCTTCTTTGCAAGGTTTAGCAACATATTATTGGTATCATTTTAGGACACTTGTATTTTCAGACTTGAATCAAAATGGATCTGGTTTATCACCTCAATCTGACATCATCTCTCCTAAAGGAGGATCTAATTCATCACTGAAAGATACGCTGCTTAACTTACCGCGACATCCAGGGGTAAGTATCATATAAGTTGATTGTACTGTGACGTGTCAAAAACATGGAGTATTATACTGAAGAAATAATCCAAATCAAGAATAAAAAGACGACTTTTATTGTCTTTATAAAGATTTCCTTTGTAATAATGTGTGTCTAGCAAATATTTACTGATTTATGGCTACAAGTGGATGTAAGTCAAATGTTCTGTCAGAAATAAAATCTCATGTTGTATAAGAAAAGCATTGTTTATTGTAGTGTGTGTCAAATTTCCTACTTACAAACTTGAATATCTAGTGGTTTTAAAAGACAAATATATGCTTGGTTAACTTTTGAATATTTGTGTTGAAACTTCACAGACATGTGTATTATGACTGGATGTTAACAGTGTAAGGTTCCAAAAGCAAATGTGTAGTACCATAATGTATGTTACCATAGATGTACACCATGTCAAAGACTTGGATGGACCTAGTGACTTGGGCAGTATGCCGTGTAATGAGATTTGGTGAATAATTCTACATTCTAATTCATTTGAGATGTAATTACATGACATTTGATTGGTCATTCAAAATCATTTGCGACAGTATAACAGTGATAAACTGTTCGCAAATTTCTTCTTTGCAAATAAAGCCTGGATGGCAATCATAAATGACTTCAATGACCCCAACTTGATTACTGAATATCATGATGTCACAAAATTAGCCTGACCCTGAAAGGTTAATGTAATTCTGCCGCACTTCAAAGATTCCTGACATAACCAATCCACGGCAGATTGACCCCAAAATTTAAGGATATGCTCAAAAATATCTTAAAATTGTTGTTTATTTTTGTGGTTTTAAAATATATGAATTGGAATGGGGGTAATCCTACTGTATTTTAAATTTGTGGCAGTAAAGCATGATTATACTGTCACAAATATCTGCTCCGCGTCCCTTGTAAAATTGATTCGTGACAGACAGTATAATCATGATATACTGCCACAAATTTCGAAATACAGTAGAGTTATTCCCTTAAACTGTCTGATAGTTATAATTAAGTCAGGTTTCCTTTATTGCAGAGTCTTATAGAGGCCACCAGTCAGCTAATCGTTGTCCAGCTGAGGGCCAATAAGGAGCCCCAAACGAGCTGCTGTACGGGGGTCAAAGGGGTGCTGACCCCGGACATACTGTTGTATGAGGTACGGGACAGATAATCATTATGTACGGTATTCTCCATAATATGCACCCACTCAATTTAATGAAGGGGGCACTTATTAAGTGATTAAGATAAGAAACAGGTTGTCACATTTTCCATTAATGCGACATAACTATTAGACACTTTCCCCGCAATTACTCTAAAAACTTTGTTCTGTTTCTAAACACTGGAAAGCTGTCTTGTCAGATCACAAGACTGGCATCGGATGTAAAAGGCATGCATGTAGTACTGTATTTTGCAATGGAGGGTGTTTTTGAGAACTGGGAACCTTACTTGAAGAAAATCCCAAATGGGGAGGGACGCTTACTAGGGGAGAGATGGTAATTACATAAAATAGAGTATGTGTATTAGCTTAATAACTGGACCCAGCTGTTCAAAGCATGGTAAATTTAGTGACAAATAAATACAAAAAATTAAAATAGTTCAAAAATAAAGTTTGCTTCAAAAATTGCATGTATAGCATTTCACCAAATAATATATTAACCTCTTTGCATTTAAATTTAATTACAGTTTTTGGTTTACATGTATCTTTTCAGTATTTTTTCTGGGGACTTTTGAGGGCTAATAAAATTCCCCATTCCCAATTGAAACTATTTCATATTTAGGCCTAACTTCCAAAATTTGAAGTTTACTCCTGAAAATTTCCTTCTCAGTTGGTATAATGGGAAAAAACACTGTTTTTTAACAGGAGAATCAGCAGTGTATAGTAGTAGGCAGTAACAACCAGAGCCTGCTCCAAGTGTTTGCTGTGGACAACAGCCGGACACTGGTCAAGGTCCAGGAAATCGTGAGTAATTTAAAGAACTATAATATTTCAATTGATTAAAAAAAAAATGTTTTCCAAACAAAGCTTGAAATACCAAAATGACTACTTACAATATAGGTCTCCACTAAGTGCATAACAATTTAAGCTCAACTGTCTTGAAGGGTCAAGTAAGCTTGTGCCATGGCTCTGTGTCAGCTGTTTAATATATAAGAAAATGTTCATTTATAGTCAAAATCATTGAAGTATAATTGCAACAGTATGTATTTTTTAGTTTTTCACAATGATGTATATCACAACCGAAAACAATCTTAAGAAGATCTAACTTGGGGAAAAAAATGTTTTCACCCTCTTTAGGATCAAGAATAATTTATACTGAAATTTACATATGTTACAAACTTTAAAGCATAATATCTAAATCTTGTTTAAAATTGACATTGAAAAATTACAAGTGCACTATGCCCAACTGGAACATAATTCAGATTTGCCAAAGTTGCATTGCAACCATTGCATTGAATATGTATGTAACTATCCATATTGCTTAAAAGCATTCTCAAATTGAAGGTATTTGCTTTCTTAACCTATTTGTAAAGATAGAAAAGACCTATTTGTAAAGATAGAAAAGACTTTCAGTCAATCTTAAAAGGAATATTGTTTTTGCTGATGATTGAACTCTGATAAATTGCATTTAATTTGCATAGATGACAAATGATGCTTTTATCAACCTTCAAATCTTTTCTTCATTCTGATTCCATTGCATTACAGCAACTGAACAAGGATGAGCGCCCCAGAGGGATTTCTAGCCTCGACAGCCCCCAGTTGGCGGGTTACCAAGGGATACTGTTGGCGGTGGGTAAGCGGACGACGGCCAGTGCACTGTTCCCATCGTCGTCAGAGAGTACTGGGGACGTCCGGCTACAGTTCGTCCCAGTGTCCATAGGTTGGTATGGATTCTGTCTGTGTTACCTGTATACTGTTATAAAGGTATTACATGTGTCAGGAGCACCTGTTTATTTCAATAACTACTAATTTTAGGAAGATTTTAAACTAACTGCGTGAACATGTCTTGGCAGACAATGTTATCATTTACTTTATTTCATATGAAATAAGGGGGAAAATATTTTTCGATTTTGTTAATAAAATTCAATTGAGCATATATTTCTGGAGTTTATTTTTACTGCAACCCTTTTGGTGATTCAATTAAAATATTTTGTTCACATTCTCAAAAATTGGGGTGTTTCTAACCTTTTGACACGAAAATGTCACTAAAAACATAAAAAAATATTATCAACATGCACACCTGTATGTCATTTATAATAGACCTAATCCTACTCTTCAAAAAACATGTCGTTGCAAATCAATCTGAAACCTATTCTGACAACCTGTTAAACTGTCATTGAGTTATAATGGTTTAACACTGTATCTGGTATTGTAAAGTGTCTACCATCAACCAGTGATGAAATATATATAGTATCTACCATCCATTTGTTGTTGGAAAATGTTTACGTTAATCTCACGCGGTGTCATGGTTTTAATTTCTGACGAGTAGACAGATCTGCTATGAAGGTTCTGGCTGAAGAAAACATGACAGCAGATCAAAGTATGCTAGAAAACCTGGTCCCCTCCAAAACGTCGACGCCTGCCGCGCAACCTCAGAAAAAGACAATAAAACTTCAGTATTCCGTTGGAGAGGATGACACACAATTGGATCAGTCAGGCGGCCAATCAGAGCCCTCGTCTCTTGAACCGTTCAGTTTGATCAGCAATGGAATCTCTGAGGCTAGCACTCAGCAAAAATCTCAAAATGAATCTGTTGATCTTTTACTTAAAAAACAGAAAACTGTTTCAGAATTAAGAGATTATTCTGACACAGACTCTGCCAAATCATCGCCAAGGGAGACATCTCAAGATTCTGAGGAATTGTCACCAAGAGAGACAACTCCGTCTACTTCTACATCTCAAAAGAAAAAGATAATTGTTGACTTAAACGAATCTGACACTGGTGATAGTGATTTAGAGACAGAAACTACAGAATTCTCAGAACAAAAGCCACATTTCAAAAGTCCAGAATTAGATAAATATTTAGAAGACAATGTTGGAATAACTGACATTCCAAACTTATCGAAAGACTGTAAAGAAACCTCGCCCCAGTGTGAATCTAAGAACACAGCCAGGAAGGTTAGCCAGAGCGAGAGAGATTCCGGCTATACAGATGCGATATGTGATACCTCTCCTGAACTCTCTGTTGGAGAAGCCAAGGGAAGACTGAAGGCCAACATGTCAATTGAGGACCTGGAGCGAGAGATACAATCACAGGTATAATAAGCTGGTGATATATCTATTTAGACTAGACTACTAGTTACTATTATCAAAAAGCCTGTCTCAATTTCTTTTGGCAGAAGATTTATTACATGTTCACAGAAACCCATGTTATAGAAAACTTCATTAGATTAATTAATAAACAAACTATTCTTGGATTCTTGATGAAGGCTGATTTGCTTTACATGTAACTCCTTCCAAACTTCTGATAATTATTCAATTGTATATAAGTGGTTTAAGCTTGGACTGTGGGGATAAAAGATAAAATAAAACAAACCTTTCTTTAGGTAAACAGAAGTGTCCTATATGTGGTGTACCAATTGGGCCAACCTTTGTATAGTGACCACTCAATGTCGTCAATAACTCTGCCAATAAAATCTCGACTATAACAGATAAACAGCTGTTTGTAACGCTATTGATACAGTGTATATTACTACTGATACAGTGTATATTACTACTGATACAGTGTATATTGTAAGCAGTATGATAGTAATAATCTAAAACTAATACATGTACTTTCAAATCAAATACTTTTATGAGGCCCAAATTTCTTGGTTTTCAGAAGAAAACCCATTTCTTGGGTACATAAATTCATGGATACCACTCAGACGGTGAATTGCTTTATATCAAACCTGTAATTTCTTTGTGGACCTATGAATTCGTGGATAAGGATTACCCATGAAATCAATGAAATTAAAATCACACGAAAATTTGTCATTTCAAAGTGGTTCTTTAATAAAATAATCTTACTTTGTCCGTCAGAATGCCCACATAGAACAGTTACAGACGAAGGTGGACTCGCTTTCTAGGTAGGTCTGGCATTGTTTAAAGTTAAAAGAATTTATGATACTGTTAACATAGATTATAATAGTGAAAGATAATGTCGTCCATGTGACTGCTTAAGTTAAGGCTACATGATTAAAGGCAATACCACATTTGTTTATTTGACATCTCAGATTGTACTGCATGTATAATGCTTATGAAATGTTTTGAAGAGGATAACTCTATCTCAGATTTGGAGTAAAGACTCATGTGCAATATAGTATATATCCTTAGATTCTGTAAAGTATGTATAGGACATAACATGATGTGATTCCTAAATAGTGCAGAAAAAAATGCTTATTGGAGAAATGAATATAAGGATATGTATCAAGAAGTGTGACAACACATTGAAACTATCAACAAAAGACTTTTTTGACTAATTGGAGAATTTTCTCTCTTTAGAATCGTGGAAGAAACATCGATGGTTTTCCCAACTAAATATCAAGCCATGGAAAAGCCAGGTAAGTTCTACTTTGTGTTAGTTTTTATGTGTAGCTTATCAATGTTGTAGTTTCCATCTTATTTCTCACCTCACTTTCACCCACTATAGACGGTTGTTTTTGAACTGTTTAATTAGCCAGAGATGTAAAATGATGAAAAGTTAGTGGTATGACAGGATGGATAGCATTTCTAGATAGAGATAATATAATATACACATTGATTGTTGAAGACCTGTAGCCTGATTACACACGATATACAGAGCAAGCAACCATAATAAGTATACCCATCTGAAATTCTTTTTACAAATATATCTGAAACTTTTTTGTTGGATTTCAAAGTACTGTAGTTTCCTATATTTACATCCATGATTTGGTCAGTCACCAATTGAAATTATGATTTATGGATAAAAAATCTTATAAAAAATCTTTGCAGTATATAACATTAGATACCATCCTTGATAACCTAGGCGAGTCTCATTCTGTACCCTTGCAATAAGTGTTAGTAGGATCAACCAGGGGTTGCTGTCAATGGTTATTTGCAAAATTTATTCCATTTTTTTTATTACAAATTTCTATGCGTATGCCCTAATAGTGAGCTTATGAACAATATACCGTATGACATATTTTGCCTATGGCAAACTTCTCTTGATCCTGTTAAGGTACTGTATACCAGGATATTTTCGCGGCAGTTAAAATTTCGTGTTTTTTGCCTGCCGTGATAAAGGCCGTAATAAGGGCAAATTTATCATAACAGCAGACATTAGTTAACAACATAATATGCATAGTAATTAAATGTGAAGGGCGAAGTTAACACTGCCTGGGCGAATATGGATTGATATTGAAGGATGATAGTTTGACAGGGCGAAAATTTCCCAGTATACAGTATATATGTTACAATTTCTACTGTATTCATGAAAAAATACCTCCCGTATAAAGTGGTTATTGATTTTTTAAACTGGACGACCACTATTTCCAGATGTTGTCACTGTGGTTTGCCACTGTGAGGGAGCTAAGGCCAGTAAGAAGACATTTCTACTGGACAACAAACGACTGCCATTGGATGTTCTGAAACATGCGTTTGGTCTTTCTCTTGTGGAACTCTATATTGGTGAGAGTATTTGTTTTTTATTTGGTGGTAACTTGTTCATTTCAATTTTAACTCATTCACCCCTAAAGACACATTTGAACTCTCCCAAATCAAAGGTTGGAATAGTTCATTATGAAATTTCAGGGGTGAATGAGTGAATATTTTTTATTAACAGAAATGATATCAAACAAAACCTGTGTCATTGTATCAACATTTGATTCAGGTTTTTCTGCTTCTATTTGATTTCGGAATACCAGTAAAAGTGTTATTGATTTTGTTGCTACATTTTTGTGTAATTGTAATATATTTTTTCACTCCAGATGGTGAGTCTTTTGTTGTTGGTGCCAACATAGATGGGTACATACCGGTGAAATTTGATCCTTCGTCTACCGTAGAGGTTAGCGGTATTCTGCAGCCAGCATCCGACAAGGACAGTACTTCCGAGGACATGGGCATCGGAGGAATAGACAAGGAGGTCACATGTTAGAGCACCTCATTGACTGATAATATCAATACAAACAAACAGATTTTATGAAGAACATTTTGTTAACAAATTGACACAAAGAACAAATCTCCACAGGAAATGTCAAGTGAAAATTTTATAAACTTTGACAAACTCAGATCTGATCAACTGTTTTTGAATCTCACTCTATAATATCAACAGTTTGTAGGTTCATGCTCACAGCTGTTGTTGAGCTCTTGAACAATCCTGATTATTCCAGTCCACCCATCAACACAAATGGGTACATGCATATTGGAAGTCATCTTGAAAAATGATGTTCTTTCAGGTGAGAGAAAGTGACCTATTTCTCACCACAGTAATCAGGTTGATATGTACTGCTTTATGTGCCACAAGTTGAAGGTCAAATTTGTTTTGGTTGAACTAGTTGTTGTACATATCATATGTCCACCCAGCTGTAAGAATTGGTACTCTTTTTACTGGGAAGTTAACCTGTGATAGTTTAAACATTCCATTCTGCGATACTGGCGACATTTATAATATACAAGGGTATAGCACTATGCAGATTGATGTTTTTTCCAGTGTTGACAGAGTACAATTATGAAATAGTCTAATTCTCATGATTTATAAATATATATCTGTACCTGCATTCCAACCCTTACACCATTGCCAACTCCCCCAAAAAAGCATTTGGATGTTGCAGTGTGTAACAGACCATATGATCATAACAGAAAATTGTCTGTTGATGATATTTGTACCTGGATCCAAGTTTAAGTGTTATATCTTAATATATAATAATCATAAGGAGAGGAGTTCCAACCACAACACAGCTCAGTTGTCACCAGTTTGAGTGGGTTTTTGTTTGGCCATTTAATTTTGACTCTTTAGCTAGTCTTCATGAAGACCAGGTCCTGACTCGCTAAAGATTGCCCAGGTGAAAGAGGCTTGATTGTAGATTGATTGTATGTCAGTAACCAAAGATTTGTTTGCACAGGAAAAGGTTGGAATATCAAGTGGTGCATACAGCATCTACTTAGATCAATGCCGGGGACAATATTTAGATTGAGAAATCAGAATATAAGTTAAGTTAGTGACTTAATTTCATACAATTTTTTTTTTTAAATCCATTCACTTTCTCACCCGAGGTGTTCTTGACACAAAACAGAAACTAGTCATTACTGAATAGGAGTTTATAAAGTGTTAAGTAGTTATATAATTGTGTTTATACTGTATATCAAGTAAACAAGGTTTGAACATTGCTATGCCTTCTAGCAATACATGTTGACTAATAAAAGCTGTTAAATACCGTTATACTAAATGTAAACATATTTCTTGATGTAGTGGGATGGTTTCGTCAATTTATATGAAATTTTCAATCTAAACAAATGAATAATGTTCATACTTAACTTTTGATACAGGGTATGGGTGGTTTTCAAAATCATTATCATAGCTATATTTGCTTGCCACTTTGGTTTAATATATGAGTAGAATTTTCTAAAGGTAATTCTATTTTAATTTTTAATTTTTTAATGCTGTAAATGTTTTGTACAGATTTGATGCTTTTGTGACTGATAATCTGTTGTTTTACTTAAATATCGGAACATTTACTGAAGTACACACTTTGTACATGCATTGTAAGTTGAATAATCCATATACACTAGAACCTGGTTATTTGTTGTGCAATATTTTGGCATTGTACAGGGCTTTGGTAATGTAGACAGGGAGGCATGTTATATTGAAATTTTTAAAAAGGAAGGTCAAAATATTGTTGATAATGAGGTTCCGAATGAAAACTATCACATTATATTGCAGTTTAACTGTGACTGTCCAGGTGTTATTTACCTTATCCATGACTTTTTTCTGTGTCAAAATGCTTATTTTAAATTTTTGTTGTATATTTGTTTCTGTTAACTTTGCATTTTTCAGAGCTAACTTCTATGTTCTTTTGAGATATGAAAAGGTTACTTGACAATCTTGTTAAATGTAAATTACATTTGACGATACATTAATATTCCGAGAGACAGAATAAAGAAAACATGCTTAAAGCAAGCTAAATGTACATGACTTAAAAAAAAGTAATTTTCTGGCAATGGAAAGTCAAGAAGTAAAACATATACCTGATAATGTATGTAAACATTAGAGGTTTACAAAACTGATATTTAGAAGTTTATGTTGACTTTCATTGTTTACATTATGATGCGTAAAAATGATATATAAAAGTATGTGTTCAGTTTCTACAATCTTAAATGTAATAATTTTACACATTAAACGTACAATATTCCTCATTTGATGAAATGTTAGATTATAATACATACCTGTTAAGGTGCTGTTGGATGGAAGGACTAAACAAGTCACAGTATTTAAGTGTCACCCTGATAAAACACAAGCTGCTTCTGACTTACTCCATATAAAGAGTTTCTGTTTAGCTTATTCAGTAGAGAGTGAAACTAGTACAATAGAAGTCCCAAGTTTGACTCCTAGTGGAGGCATCGAACAAATATTGACCTGTTTTTTTGGCACCAATGTTGTGACCTTGGAAATATTGAGACTTTTACAGGAATTGCTATGACCACTGGAAAACTTAGGATGAGTTTTTCCTGAGGGGAAGTTTGTTACTCTTGTAAAATACTAGCTGCTGCCTATCGACTCCGCTATAGATAAATTTACTTCATTTGGTAGACATAAGGCAGACATATCTGGCCTGTCTATAGCTAATGCACTACAAAACATAATATGTTACGTAAGGAAATGGTATGTGTCAATATCTGGTCGAACCATTATAAATAAATAAATTTTTACAGCATCATCAACTCAATAATCACATCAGGTATTTTGTTTATACATGTATACACATGTAACCTTTATTATATATTTATACAATCAATTACATTTCACTATTAGCTTAATTTCAATTTTACTTTAAAAGTTATAACAGTATTATTAAAAATATTTACAAGGAGTTTTACACCTGTAGACACAAATTTCTTGTATCAACATAGTACACTATGTATATTGATTTTTGTTTTTGTATGGTATATTGATTTTTTGTTTTTGTATGGTATACTGTTGAATACCTATTGTTGCACTGGTTTATCAGTTTGTACAGCTCTGCTGGTTTGTATTAAGACCATCACTGCTACTTTGTAAGTGCATACTCATTGGTTGGTCATCTAACACTTGTAAGGGACCTGTTACATGTATAAACGCTCACATTCAGTTGTTTGTGATGTGCAAAATACTAAGTAAAGTAAGAAAGAAAGGTATACTTTTAGTCATTCAACCAAACTACAGAAATTTCTGTAGGCGTCATGAAGAAATTTGGTATGCAGGGTCCTCTTGGTCCTTAGCTGTGCGTTCTCTCATTTGACATGCATCAAATAAAGAAAAAAATAGAACATTCTTTGTTTTAACCAATATTTCTCAGAAACTACTTACAGGTTCATTATTAGACTAGTCATACATGATCCCCTTGATCTGAAGTTGTGCATGATGCAATTTGAGTTTGATCAAAAAGAAAAATGGCACTCGGTAGCTATCTTGGATATTGTATGTGAGGTTTGTTACAACTATTTCTCGGGAATAATTGAAAACTCCTCAATCCCTTTTTGTGCCAGCTTTCATTTCTGTTGATTTCAAAAAGTAAAATGGACACCAGGCTATCTTGGAATATTATAAATTATTTCTTGGACAGCATGATCAACTTGGTCTATAATTGTGCATGGTCCGATTTGAGATGGATCAGCCCCTCAAAGATCTTGTCAATTTGATTCACAGGATCCTCCTTGTTAGCTCAGTTTGTGTATTTTGCTCTAGACAGAAACACAGAAATGAAGAGAAAAGATCTTTAATACCAGCAACATTCCAGGATTTTCCAATGGTTGGCGTCAAAGTCCCTCCATGCAGGTTTAAGGTGCATTGGCAAATTAAGCCCTTGTCTGAAAGTCGTTTGACAAACTGACATGAAATATGCACCTACATAATGTACATAGCTTATATCTATGCACTCTATGTCAGAAGGAGCATTAAGTACTGCGTTTTCTTTCAGTCCCTAAATCATGCCTGTCTGTCAGAGTTGTCTTGGTCAGACTTTGCAGATGTTTCCATTATTTTAATACATGAACATGTACTAGAATTTCAAGTCATAAAAATTCTTGAATTAATAACTCTTAAGAATTACTACAACAATACATCATATGTAGGTCACTATGACCTATATTTTCTGCTTCACTGACTTGATTTGTACTTTGCATTTAGTTTAATTTCCTTCAAAGCAAGAGCAATGTATACTTGTGCATGTTTTAAAAATATTTTCAAGATTGCTGAATTGATAAAGGACTATCCCTGAATCAAAATTCACTCGTCAGAAAATGTTTCTATATTGAAACAGTCAATGTGCATATTTCAATGAAAAGAACAGACTTTGACAGCTACTGCCCAGTGATCCCTAAGGGCTCATCAATGATGTCACAATATTGATGTCCTAACCAGCACCAGAATCCAACCCAATGCATTCACGGTGCTAAGAATGCATTTGGACTTTGGTTATGACATACATGTATTAAACAAGTGCAATGAAAATATACTTTTCATATTTGTCATCAAATTCAGATACTTCTCACAACCTCAAGCATACTGGTGGTAACTAGTAATCTCATCAATCATTCTAGACATTTTTAGTTCTTGACTTATGTGCAAATCATTTTTGTTTTATATTAAACCAAATTTCCAAATACATAGATATAGTATCCAGAGTGGCATATTTTCTCTCAGATTATCTTAGACTATATGGCCTTTGGAGAAGTCTCATTCTAATGGTTTATTCTCAAAAGAAACAAACAACAATTTAATAAAGAGTTAAGTCAATCGGGAACCGTCGGCACTTTCCGTAAACGAGAAAACACTTAGTATTTTCTCGTTTACGGAAAGTGCTGACGGTTCCTGATTGATAAATAAGTATACCTGGATTGCATTTTGAGATTTTGATTAATTTACCATACAAACAAATTGTACCATAATATCTTGTATGTGATACAGAACAAGACTAACAAGTACCACATACAACAACACAAGGTCAAGTTTGTGTTATTGCTGCATTAAATTGTCATTCCCTTTGCAGATGTAAGATAAAAACTGACACTTGATTTGCTAGCTGTGATCTAGTGCTTGCTGTGGTCTAGTGGGGATACATTTGCTATATTTCAATGAATTTTTGATGTATACCGGGTAATAGAAATGTCACATTCCATATATTTGAACATTTTAGCACATGTGTCATAGATATATATTTTATTTGTATGAGTTACACATGAGTCATGTATCTAATATATTTGTGTGTGTCCAGTGTCATAGATCTTAATACATGTATGTGTAACATAAATATATTTACATGTATATGTAACAAATGTACGTAAGTTAAAACTCACAACTTCTGTAACAGTCATATGTAAAAAAGCAATATTTTCTCAAATTAAAAATAGAATAAGCCTAAAACGAGTTGCCCTTGAAGTTTTCTTTCTACTTGTAAGTAGCAATAGATGAAATTCTGATAGTACTGAACATTATTAGCTCACCTGGTCCGAAGGATCAAGGTGAGCTTATGCCATACCGTTGCGTCCGTCGTCCGTACGTCCATACATCAACAATTTCTTTAAACGACTTCTTCTTCTTAACCACTAATTGGAATTCAACTAAATTTGACTGGAAGCATCCCTAGGTGGTGGGGATTCAAAATTGTACAAATGGTGGGGCTGACCTCCAAGGGGGCTGAGAGGAGGGGCCAAAAGGGGTCAATTTGGCTATATTGCTTTAAGCGACCTCTTCTCTGGAACTTAGAAGTGGATATCAACCATATTTGACTGGAAGCATCCCTAGGTGGTGGGGATTCAAGATTGTACAAATGATGGGGCCGACCCCCCAGGGGGCTGAGGGGCGGGGCCAAAAGGAGTCAATTTGGCTATATTACTTTAAGCAACTTCTTCTCTGGAACTAAGAGGTGGATATCAACCATA